GCGCTTCGACTTCACGTACTCCTCGCCTCAGGCCACTCCTCTGTCTACTCGCCACTCGCTCTTAGCTCTGCCTTCGGATGAGTCCGTAGAGCCGAGTGGCTCGTACCTAGAGCTTGTTGGCTGCCTCATGTACCTGATGACCTGCACACGACCTGACCTTGCATACTCTCTTAGCATCTTGGCACGCTATGTTGCTCCTGGGAGACAAAGACCAGAGCACATGGCTGTAGCGAAGAGGGTGTTGCGCTACGTGTGCAGTACGTCGGGCATGGGGCTAGTGCTTGGAGGGCGACGTTAAGTGGTCCTCACAGGTCACGCTGACGCTTCTTGGGCTGATGACCAGGCTACGCAGCGGTCGTCAGAGGGTTACACCTTCAGCCTTGGTTCCGGCTCTGTTTTGTGGCGGTCTACCCGCTCGTCTTCTGTTCTCGGCTCCAGCTGTGAGGCCGAGATCTACGCGGGGGCCATGGCTGCACAGGAGTTACGCTGGCTCATCTACCTGCTTACTGACCTAGGAGAGGCGCCTCGTTCTCCTCCAGTTCTGTACGTAGACAACAAGGTCATGCTGGCCTTGTGTCGGAAGCACAGACTGGAGCACAGAACGAAGCACATTGCTCTTCGTTACTTCCTTGCTCGTGAGCTGCAGCAGCGTGGTCAGCTGCACCTTGCTTACGTGGCCTCTCAGGCCAACACTGCTGATATCTTTACCAACGCACTACCGCCTGGTGATCATCAGCGTTTCTGTACGATGCTAGGTCTTGTGCCTAATTGGCCCCACTTGCTCACTTCTTGACCTTGCTTGTACTGTGATCTTTCTAGACCTGCACTTGCTTGTTTACCTTTATATATGATCTTGCATGTGAACTGGTCTTTTGGGCTTGCTCTTGTGCTCGGATTGTGTGGTGACATTGTGATCCATGCTGAGTTTGCTTTGCTTTGCTTGACTGGTCTTGTGACCTCTTGTTCTCCCCCACTTTGCCTATGGGGGTGTGTCAAACTTATATGCTATAGTCTGTGTAGGGTGTAGTGGGGTAGACAATATGGGGTACAACACTTCTAGGTTTTCCTACTTGTACCCACCTGCTTGCTAGTTCATTCATTCCTCATTTCTTCACACGTTTTTCCCCGTCTAACGTTTCTCCGCGTCCAACGTTTTTCCCCGTCCAACGTTTTTCCTGTCAACGGGAGTTTTTGTTGGCCCGGTCCTCGCTTGGGTGGTGCCGACTCCGTGGATTGGGTGTACAGGAAGTACAGCCGACTTGTTGCAGTGGGCGACACCGACTTGGGCGAGCTGGTCGACGGGCTTGGTCGACTTGCACGGGGCCACTGCAATGCCGCCGACTTGGTGGTTGGCGATGTGGCACGTCGACCTGGAAGTTGACGCCGACTTGCAAGGTCACCGACTTGGGAGGTCGACGGGCATGTACGGGAGCAGGTGGTTCACGTGGTTGCCAAGTCGACCAGGTTACCTGGGTGACGAACTTCTGCGGAGGAGTGCGACGGTCGCCCCGGCTAAGTTTGCGAGTCCGACCTCGGTGGTGGTCTCCCGAGGTCAACGTGGCGGATCAGGTGGAGCTGTCAGCACGAGGATGACTTGGTGCATGCGCTGTTCAGGTGACGAGGCTTAGCTCGCCAATCATCTACGAGCACCTGCAAAGTAGGTGCGCTGCTGTTCTGTGGGAGCAATGCTGGCACGCCGTCAACCTGCAGCGTTGGCACGCTGTCGACTTTGCACTGCTGGAGCGTGGTCGACCAAGTCGTGCTGGAGCGCGGTCAACCATGCTGTGCTGGCAGTCGACCGACCAGAATGCTAGCTCTGATGTAGTTTTGCCATGCCAACTTCATTGTACCATTGTTGTCAACTTTTTCTTTTGAAACCCTTGCCAATTCTCCCCGTGAACTGGCAAGCTGTGTGTGCACTAGGAAAACGACTAAGGGCCAACGAACGCAGAGATCACACAAGCACCCGTGTCTAGCCCGTAGTCTAGCTCCCGTTGTAGTAGTTATCTCGGCATGGTGCGATGAGCGTGGAAGGTACACAACTTACCTTTCAGTCAGGTCGACGTAGAGGTCACTTACCTAAGTTGTTCGTAGGCCGGCAGCCGTGCAGTCCCTAGCGTGCGCGTAGGTGATGCCAAGGTGATGGACACCCTGGAGGGACGGCTGGAGGATGCGAGGAGACGCCATGAGGCCCAGGAGTATGGGACGATACCCTGGGCGGTCGTCGAGGCTGGACTCCGCACCATGTGGGCGTTGGAGCATCCCCCTCCTCGACCGGCGTCTCCTCGACCGGTGAACACAGAGGTCGGCGTCAACGTGGGTGTCAACGCCGGTGGTGACCAGGTCGGCAGCAGTGCGGGAGGCATGTCGATGCAAAGAGGTGTGATACACGACGATGAAGTCGGCAGCGTTCAGACGTGAGGGATGCGGTTGATGGCGGCTGCAGGCACCTCACAGGGCGACGTCAGAGGACGACGAAACGGATTGTCGCCGATGTCGGCGACCCCGGTGACGACGGGCGGGATTGCACCGAGCTACGGCTACTTCAAGTTCACGCCGGACAGGATCTTGGTCACCCCGCCGCTCGTTGGTCGACCAGACATTCTCACCTGGAAGGAAGCTATCGAGCCCCAGTTGGAGATGGTTGGGCTGATCGGCTTCGCCCGAGGGACTGTGGCGACGCCGGAGGAGCACCATGCCGACTTACGAGCATAGTTTTGCGCCGTGCAGCTGTTGACCTTCACGGTCATCTCGCGGTGCTGCTCGCTAGGTGTGCAGATCGCTTTGAAATGGTGCCGAGAGTACCTCAACGCCGGCCACTGGGCATGGCACTTCATCGAGTCGACCTACCAAGTCACCAACGACTTGTTCATCGCCTAGCTGGAGGGGCAGCTGACTCATCTGCGTATGGGCGACGAGGAGACGGCGACCGACTACTGCAACCGGGCCCGGCGAATTCTCGCCACCATCAGGATGGCCGGCGCGCAGTACTCGACGACGTCGTACGTCACCCACGTTATGCAAGGACTCTCGAGAAGCTACAACCTCCTCAAGTGGCTGTCAATGGCGCCGAGCACGAGGACGACGCTCAATGAGGACAATTTGACCTCATACATCCTGCAGGATGAGGCGATGCAGGAGGCTGAGCGGTCACAGGAGCTCTTGGCGCAGGCAAACTTCGTCGCCCCAGCGAAGCAAGGAGGTTGACCGGGGCAGCGCGGACAGTCCGGCGGTGGCGGTAGCAGTGGCTGGAAGCCGGCCAAGGAGCTCGACAAGAAGAAGTCGACCAAAGACAGCGGTCGAGGAGGAGGAGGTCAACGATGGGAGTGCTGGCTGTGCGGCGACCCCGACCACCTCTCCTTCGAGTGCCCCGACCGCAGTGACTCCAACGACGACAACGCCAAGGGAGGTCGCGGGAGGTCTGGCAGTCGTCGTCCTCGTCGAGGAGGAAACAAGCCGCGCAAGGAGAAGCAGTCGACGACGTCGACCTCGGTGAAGGACACCGACTCCTCTGCAGGCGGCAAGGCGCGGGACGACAAGACGGCGTCGTGCTCGCTGGTTGGCGTCGTGGAGCCGACCGTCTCGCTGGCGCCAGAGGCTGGGGAGGACTTCCAGGCGGTGGTCCTGCTCGACAGCGGTTGCTCCCACCACCTGATGGGGACGAAGGAAGTCTTCGTCGACCTGCAGCCGAGCGGCTCCATCAAGCACGTGCGCGGCTTCAATGGGGCACTGCAGGACGTCCAGGGCCGCGGCACCGTCGCTCTGCAAGGGGAGGCCGGGAAGAAAGTGCTCATCCCCGACGTGTTGTACGTCCCGGGTGTGCAGGCAAACTTGCTGTCGTCTGGCCAGCTAAAGGAGCACGGCGTGAAGCTGCAAGAGGACGGTGACGGGATGCTGCTCGTCTCGGCAACGGGAGAGGTGCTCGGTCGGGCGACGTACTCCGGGCGTGTCCTCTGCACCGACCTGCGTCCCTACTCAACGAGGTCGACGTCGCCCACGACGGAGGTTGTGGCCCTGCGGGCAATCGTCTTGATAACGAAGTCGACGCCGGACAGGATGCATGCTAAACTTGCGCACGTCAGCATGGACACCATCAGGAGCTCGGCGAAGAACGAGGTCGCCATTGGGCTGGATCTCAAGTCGGCGACAGGCGCCGACTCATCGTGTGTCTCGTGCGTCGGCGGGAAGCTGGCGCGGCACACCTTCCCCGACCAAGGCTCCGACGCCGACGACGCGCTGGCCGTTGTGCACATCGACTTGTGCGGGCCGTTCCGCGTGGCTGCCAAGGATGGCAGCCTGTACTTCTTGTTGCCGAAGGACCGCAAGACCCGCTACGTGTGGATGAAGCCGGTCGCCAAGAAGTCAGATGCATTGCCGGTGTTCGTGCAGTGGCTGGCGGTGGCTGAGCGGCAGACGAAGAAGTCGGTGTTGATGCTGCGCTCTGACCGGGGAGGGGAGTTCCTCGGGAAGCAGTTCACCGACTTCGTGAACGGCAAGGGGATCGTCCACGACCTGACCTGCCCATACACCCCACAGCAGAACGGCATGGCGGAGCGGGAGATGAGGACGGTGGTGGAGTCGGTGCGGACGATGCTGCTGCACATGGGCGTGCAGCACCACTAGTGGCACCTCGCTCTTCGGCTGGCCGTCTGGGTCCGCAACTGCCTTGAGAGGTCGGCGCTGCCGCCGGGGATGACGCCGTACCAACTGCTGACCGGGAAGAAGGCGGACTTGTCGCTGGCGCGGGTGTGGGGTCAAGGGCCCACCACCACTAGACTAGAATTGTGCGAACCTTCCTGAGGTGATCCTGGTTACGATCACTTTCTGATTTCAACACCGGAGGTCTACAATTGAAGGGGGTCTTATAACCGGGGAATTACGGGCATGATTGTTATCCTGCTCTAAAGTTTAGCCTTTTTAGACAACTCCGCAACTTGCACGCATCACTGCTAACGGTTGCTATTTCCCTAAGTGCTTTCTGACTTCTGGCAACACCGCAATCAGCTGCACCAGGGCAGCATGGGTGAGCCTTGCGAGCCCAAGGGAAGAGGGCGAGAGGGGCTGGGTGCTGTGAGACACTGTGTGTAACGCACGTTCCAATGCAGAGGTGAGGAGGAGGAGGTGATGGGAAGTTGAGGTGGCATGTGAGAGCAGTGCTGCATGCATGCATGGGCATGAGAGCAGCCCATGCAGCACCTGGCGGGAGGAGCACACAGAAGGGGTGTGGGAGGGGAGCCGAAACGAAAAATGGCATGAACAAGAACATCAAACCCATTGAATAAACAAAATGACAGCATTGCGAACCACAGACAACACCACTTGACAGCAACGCTGCAGGCTGCTGTGCTTGGCGGCACATTGCAAAGCCACTAACCTCCACCGCGAGCGCTAGAACATCAACTTCTGGCTGCCTGCCCTCTGCCCGCCCTGCAGCAGCTGCTCCTTCTGTGGCTCCAGGGGATCCAGCGAGCTGCAGTGCGCGTGGAGTGGAAGGCAGCAGGAGAGCGAGGTGGGCGGTGTGGGCGTGGGCACGGTGGAGGCTGTGCGAGGCAGCGTGCACAACGGCTGTGAGCCACAGCAGCAGCCCGCCTTGCCGCACCAGGTGGCCCGCGTACGAGGGCAGGCAGCACACGCGCCGCAGCACCTGCAGAATCAGCTTGCAGGTGAACACATCGCTCACCCCACACGCGAAGAAACTTCCCAGAAGCTCCACAACAAAGCGGCGCCGCAGAACAGCATCCCCCTCAAAACTGCCAGCCTCGTGCCCTTCGTCTGCGTTGCCACTGCCCCCATCCCCATCGTCGACCTTGTCACCGCCCCCCCTGCCACCACCCATCTCTTGCCCTTCCCCTCCAGCAGCCAGTTGTGGGGCAAGGGGAAGTATCAAAGGGGCGGGGGCTGCAGGGGAGGCATGGAAGGGTGGGAGGGCGAGGGCGGCCAGGAGGTGCAGCAGCCACGTGCGCTGCGCGCGGTGGTGGGGCGAGCCGCTCATGAGGCACGGCAGCAGCAGTGGCACGGTCTGCAGCGGTGGGAAGGGGGAGTGGAACACTGATATGATGAGGACCAACAATGATGAGGACCAACAATGATGAGGACCAACAATGATGAGGACCAACAATGATGAGGACCAACAATGATGAGGACCAACAATGATGGGGACCAACAATGATGAGGACCAACAATGATGAGGACCATCCATGATGAGGACCAACAATGATGGGGACCAACAATGATGAGGACCAACAATGATGAGGACCAACAATGATGAGGACCAACAATGATGGGGACCAACAATGATGGGGACCAATGATGAGGACCAACAATGATGGGGACCAACAATGATGGGAACCAACAATGATGAGGACCAACAATGATGAGGACCAACAATGATGGGGACCAACAATGATGAGGACCAACAATGATGAGGACCAACAATGATGAGGACCAACAATGATGGGGACCAAAAATGATGGGGACCAACAATGATGAGGACCAACAATGATGAGGACCAACAATGATGAGGACCAACAATGATGAGGACCAACAACAATGATGGGGACCAACAATGATGGGGACCAACAATGATGAGGACCAACAATGATGGGGACCAACAATGATGAGGACCAACAATGATGAGGACCAACAATGATGAGGACCAACAATGATGGGGACCAACAATGATGAGGACCAACAATGATGAGGACCAACAATGATGAGGACCAACAATGATGGGGACCAAAAATGATGGGGACCAACAATGATGAGGACCAACAATGATGAGGACCAACAATGATGGGGACCAACAATGATGAGGACCAACAATGATGAGGACCAACAATGATGAGGACCAACAATGATGAGGACCAACAATGATGAGGACCAACAACAATGATGGGGACCAACAATGATGGGGACCAACAATGACGGGGACCAACAATGATGGGGACCAACGATGATGGGGACCAACAATGATGAGGACCAGCAATGATGGGGACCAGCAATGATGGGGACCAACAATGATGGGGACCAACAATGATGGGGACCAACAATGATGGGGACCAACAATGATGGGGACCAACAATGATGAGGACCAACAATGATGAGGACCAACAATGATGAGGACCAACAATGATGGGGACCAAAAATGATGGGGACCAACAATGATGAGGACCAACAATGATGAGGACCAACAATGATGGGGACCAACAATGATGAGAACCAACAATGATGAGGACCAACAATGATGAGGACCAACAATGATGGGGACCAAAAATGATGGGGACCAACAATGATGGGGACCAACAATGATGAGGACCAACAATGATGAGGACCAACAATGATGAGGACCAACAACAATGATGGGGACCAACAATGATGGGGACCAACAATGATGGGGACCAACAATGACGGGGACCAACAATGATGGGGACCAACAATGATGAGGACCAGCAATGATGAGGACCAGCAATGATGGGGACCAACAATGATGGGGACCAACAATGATGGGGACCAACAATGATGAGGACCAACAATGATGGGGACCAACAATGATGAGGACCAACAATGATGAGGACCAACAATGATGAGGACCAACAATGATGGGGACCAACAATGATGGGGACCAACAATGATGAGGACCAACAATGATGAGGACCAACAATGATGAGGACCAACAATGATGAGGACCAACAATGATGGGGACCAACAATGATGGGGACCAACAATGATGCGGACCAACAATGATGAGGACCAACAATGACGGGGACCAACAATAATGGGGACCAACAATGATGGGGACCAACAATGATGGGGACCAACAATGATGGGGACCAACAATGATGGGAACCAACAATGATGAGGACCAACAATGATGGGGACCAACAATGATGGGGACCAACAATGATGGGGACCAACAATGATGAGGACCAACAATGATGGGGACCAACAATGATGGGGACCAACAATGATGAAGACCAACAATGATGAGGACCAACAATGATGAGGACCAACAATGATGAGGACCAACAATGATGGGGACCAACAATGATGGGGACCAACAATGATGAGGACCAACAATGATGAGGACCAACAATGATGAGGACCAACAATGATGGGGACCAACAATGATGAGGACCAACAATGATGAGGACCAACAATGATGGGGACCAACAATGATGAGGACCAACAATGATGAGGACCAACAATGATGAGGACCAAAAATGATGAGGACCAACAATGATGGGGACCAAAAATGATGAGGACCAACAATGATGAGGACCAAAAATGATGAGGACCAACCATGAGGACCAACAATGATGAGGACCAACAATGATGAGGACCAACAATGATGAGGACCAACAACAATGATGAGGACCAACAATGATGAGGACCAACAATGATGGGGACCAAAAATGATGTGGACCAACAATGATGAGGACCAACAATGATGAGGACCAACAACAATGAGGACCAACAATGATGGGGACCAACAATGATGGGGACCAACGATGATGGGGACCAACAATGATGAGGACCAACGATGATGGGGACCAACAATGATGAGGACCAACAATGATGGGGACCAACAATTATGAGGACCAACAATGATGAGGACCAACAATGATGAGGACCAACAATGATGGGGACCAACAATGATGGGGACCAACAATGATGAGGACCAACAATGATGGGGACCAACAATGATGAGGACCAACAATGATGGGGACCAACAATGATGGGGACCAACAATGATGGGGACCAACAATGATGGGGACCAACAATGATGGGAACCAACAATGATGAGGACCAACAATGATGGGAACCAACAATGATGAGGACCAACAATGATGGGAACCAACAATGATGAGGACCAACAATGATGGGGACCAACAATGATGGGGACCAACAATGATGGGGACCAACAATGATGGGGACCAACAATGATGGGAACCAACAATGATGAGGACCAACAATGATGGGGACCAACAATGATGGGGACCAACAATGATGGGGACCAACAATGATGAGGACCAACAATGATGGGGACCAACAACGATGAGGACCAACAACGATGAGGACCAACAATGATGGGGACCAACAATGATGGGGACCAACAATGACGGGGACCAACAATGATGGGGACCAACAATGATGGGGACCAACAATGATGGGGACCAACAATGATGGGGACCAACAATGATGGGAACCAACAATGATGAGGACCAACAATGATGGGGACCAACAACAATGATGGGACCAACAATGATGAGGACCAACAATGACGGGGACCAACAATAATGGGGACCAACAATGATGGGGACCAACAATGATGGGGACCAACAATGATGGGAACCAACAATGATGAGGACCAACAATGACGGGGACCAACAATGATGGGGACCAACAATGATGGGGACCAACAATGATGGGGACCAACAATGATGGGGACCAACAATGATGGGGACCAACAATGATGAGGACCAACAATGATGGGGACCAACAACGATGAGGACCAACAACGATGAGGACCAACAATGATGGGGACCAACAATGATGGGGACCAACAATGACGGGGACCAACAATGATGGGGACCAACAATGATGGGGACCAACAATGATGGGGACCAACAATGATGGGGACCAACAATGATGGGAACCAACAATGATGAGGACCAACAATGATGGGGACCAACAACAATGATGGGACCAACAATGATGGGGACCAACAATGATGAGGACCAACAATGATGAGGACCAACAATAATGAGGACCAACAATGATGGGGACCAACAATGATGGGGACCAACAATGATGGGGACCAACAATATGATGGGGACCAACAATGATGGGGACCAACAATGATGTGGACCAACAGTGATGAGGACCAACAATGATGAGGACCAACAATGATGAGGACCAACAATGATGAGGACCAACACTGATGAGGACCAACAATGATGGGGACCAACAATGATGAGGACCAACAATGATGAGGACCAACAATGATGGGGACCAACAATGATGAGGACCAACAATGATGGGGACCAACAATGATGGGGACCAACAATGATGGGGACCAACCATGATGGGGACCAACAATGATGGGGACCAACAATGATGAGGACCAACAATGATGGGGACCAACCATGATGGGGACCAACCATGATGGGGACCAGCAGAGAAAAAGCGAATGGGAGCCCTACCGTGAGGTTGAAGGATGGTTGGGAGAGAAGCGATTGGGAGAGGAGAGGAAAGAGAGGGGAGGCTCCCCCCAGATGCATGACTTGGAGCATTTCCGCCATGAAGAGCACAGAGAGGCGCGGCAGGCGCTGCCATGTGGTGGTGACGGTGGTCCGCACACAGCGCACCACATGCTGCACGGCGTGCTGCTCCCTCCACCCCTCCTCCTGCTCCTGCACCACTCCACTCCACAACCAACGGGGCGGACCAGATGTACACCATGTGGATGAAAGGTGCAGGGGAGATGCAGAGGAAGACATCAGTGCTGGGAACAAAGTTAGTTCTTACCACTTATCACACTCGTTCCTGCCGTTCACTGTTTCACCTCTCGCATGCATGCCAGCATCATCAGCTGAAGAGCGCCACTTGAGCCCAAAGTGGCTTGCAGCAGCGCACATACCTCGAGCAGAGCAGCAAAGAGTGCGAGAGTGGCGTAGCCCAGGCGCCGCATGCTGTGCTGCGCCGACGCCAGGCTGGCAATGGCAGCCGCCATGAGCCCGCAGCGGGCAGCCATGCGCGGGGAGAGGAGGCGGCGGGAGAGGGCGTGCAGGGTGAAGGGGAGCAGGAAGGCGGGGTCGTAGGCTGCCTGCTGCACCGCCACGTCCTGACCCGCCGCTGACCCGGGGAGAGGGTGGCCCTGCCCAGCCTGCTGCCGCACACAAGGGTCGCCCCCCCCTCCCATGCAGCTCGCACTGCATATGCACATGTGCGTGCTTTCGTGCCCCATCCACTCACTCACCCTTTCACCCTCTTGCTCCACGTCCTCCACTCCCCCTCCCTCTCCGTCTCGCCCCTGCTCGCCTGCATCCCCCCCCAAGTGTGCGTGGCGGAGGGCAGGGAAGGCGAGCACGAGCAGCCCACAGCGCGTGGCGTCCACCGCCGCCTCCTCCCACCAGAACCGCCACTGCCGCTGCTCGCGCCCCTCAAACACACCATCACCATTCCCACCCACCTCCTCCCCCCCCGCTACCCCCATCTCCCTGCCATCTTGTGCAGCACCTTCTGCTTGGCCCTCACCCCCTGCCTGTGCTGGTGCTCGTCCCCTTCCCTGCTGCCACTCCCAGCGTGATGCGGCCCCCTGGCCCCAAAGATAGTCAAACCACTCAAAACCCAGGAACTCCTCTGCAACCACCGTGCTCGCCCCATCAGCACCCCCTGCTGCCTGCGCAGCTTGCTGGTCCCCCCCCTCGATGCGGGCTGCCGCACGTGGCATGTCGCGGCGTGCAAGGCGTGTGAGGAGGTGCATGAGGGCGAGCAGTGCGCGGTCGGTGGGGCTGAGGGTGGCGCCGTAGAGGGCGAGCAGCAGCGCAAAGAGCGACTGTACAGCACGCCCACACGCCGATGAGCACACACGGCCAGACACGTGGCACAGCCTCATTCGCAGAAAGGCAGTCATCAGCCGCAGCAATTCCAACCGCGCTGCACCCTCACCTGCACACGCGCCTTCCTCACCCCCCTCTGATCCTCCCTTCCGCCTCTTCCTCTTCCTCTTCCTTTGCTTTCCTGCCTCCCCATCAGGCCTCTCCTCCTCTCCACCCTCTCTCCCCTCCCTCGCTGCATGGCTTGGTGCCTGGCATGGCAGTGCGAGCGGCCACAGCATGGTGGAGTGAAGGCACGAGTGCAGGAGCTCACTGGCCCGCACCTTCACCTCCACGCCTGCCCCTGCTTCCGCTTCCTCCCCCAACTCCTCCCTGTCTGCAACTCTCTGCCCCTCTTGCACCTGCCACGCTGCCCCCCGCCAGCTGGCGTGTATGCGAGTACTGCGAGCAGAAGAGGGCGGGCAGGATGCGGCAATGAGGGGGAGATCGGGGAGGAGGGGAGAGGGGATGAGGGAGAGGGGCGATGGGAGCGATACAGCTCTGCTGCTGTCCTTGTGCAGTTGGTGGGCCAGCGCTGCAGGCAGGGGGGCGGCGGAGGGGCCAGCGGAGGGGGAGAGGAGGAGAGGCAGAGTGCGAGAGTGTGCGAGGAGGAGGTCCAAGAGGGCGCACCCCACGCTGGACACCGCTGCTGCCGCGGCTTCTGGCGATTGTGATGGTGGTGTTGCTGCTGCCACGGGACGCTTCGGTGGGTGCACGGAGGGGGCAGTGGCGGCGGCGAGCAGGGCACGGCAGGCGAGGGTGAGGGAGTGGAAGGCCAGAGGGTGGGCGAAGCGGTGCTTGAGGCACGCCACGGCTGCAAGGCGCAGCGAGGCCAGGCCGTGCTGCAGCAGAGGCAGGGGGACGTGCGGGGTGGTGGGAGATGGTGGCGGGTGTGGCGGCATGGCAGGTGGAGCAGCAGTGAGTGTACGTGCCAGGTGCGTGGCCACACGAGCCAGCTGCACGGCAGCCACCTGCTGAAGCTCTCTCGCTGCCATTGTCACCCGCCCACCACCCACTGCCCTCTCACCTTCCCTCCTCACATGCTCTCTTTGCCCCCACCCACTGCCACCACCACTGCCCGTCACCACAGTCACTTGTGCCTCCGGTGCGAGAGGGAAGATGCTTCCAAGAAGATTCAGAAGGGCAGCCAGAACCCTCATCTGTGCAGCAGGCGTTCCCCAAACCCTTCTCGTGCCCTCGCTCTCCCCACCGCACCTGCCAGCGCCAACACCGCCAGCGCTACCAGTGCTAGCAGTCCTGAAGGGCGCCGTGGGCATAGGGCCGGTGCAGGCCAGCCGGGGCGCCAGTGCCACCTGCAGCAGCGTGGCAGCCGCCACACAGCCCCCCTGCACACGCCACCCCCCACCTCCAACCACCCCCCCTCTACCCTCCTCCGCCTCCCCCCTGCCCTTCCCACTGCCCCTCCCTTTTCCACGTGCGGCCTTGCCTCCCCCCTGCATTCCGCCCTCTTGCTGCTCGTGTGGCACCACCACGTGGACGAGCGAGGCGAGGCGCAAGCGGGGGAGGGGATGAGCGAGCAGCAGCGAGTGGAGAAGAGCGGGGACATACAAGAGCAAGGAGGGAAGGATGTGAGGAGGAAGATGGGAGAGGGGAAGGTGGCAGGGAGGGGTGGTTGTGGCGGTATGGGGCGGGGTGCATGGAGGGAGCAGGGCGAGGAGCATGTCTCTGTACGTGCACGCCACCATACTCATACCTGCTGCCCCTCCACCCTCGCCCTCCTTCCACTGCCCACCCACAGCAGCAACCACTGCAGGCAGCAGCATGAGCATGCGTATCCACCTGTCCCCATCCTGCCACCACGAGTGCCCCTCACCACCTCCTGCATCCACCCTGCCCCCCACACCCTTGGCTGAGCGTGCGCCCAACCACTGCCTCTCCTCGCCACCCATCCACTCAGCCACAGCCTGCACCACCTCGCCCGCCACCCTGCTGCTCCCTGTGCGCCCCTCAGAGCGTGCGTGAGCAGCGAGGAGCAGCGAGAGCAGGTTGCCACGGCGCCATGAGGGGTGGTGCACGCACGAGTGAATGACGCGCCGCTCAAGGGCTGCGGGGCACACTCGCGCCACGTGCACGTGCACGTGTGAGCACGGTGCGTGGCACGCCACAGGGCTTGGCCAGATGTGCAGGCAGGGCAGGCGCACCGCTGCTTCCAGTGCCACGACAGCTGTGTGCTCTGCGAGGAGTGTGGCCCGTGTGAGCAGCGCGTGCAGGGCCGCCTCCACCAGCGCTGTGAGCGCCCCACGCGCACACACGTTCGCCCCCCCACGTGAAGTGCTGTGCTGCAGTGTCTGCGGCAGTGGCTGTGGGGCCACCCACGGCAACCCACCATGCCCCTCGCCCACAGCTGCCTTGGCGTGTTGAAATGTGACACATGCAATTGTGAGCGCCATGTGCTCACATGCCCCCCTCACACTCTCCCTCTCACCTCCCCCTGCTGCACCACCCCCAATCACCATGCTCCCATCTGCCATCTGCCCGTGTGCCATTCCCTGCACCACTGCTGCCATCCATCCCGCCCATGCTGCCAGGCTGGCCAGGCGGGGCGAGGAGGGGACACGGGTGACGTGCGGACAGGAAGGGGCAAGAGCGGGCTGAATAGCGGAGGCACAGGGAGGGGCGGGCTGCACAAGGGGAGACGGGGAGGAGTGGCACGGCAGGGCAATGAAACGAGAGAGCCACAGCGCCACCACTACGCTCACTGGCACTGCCACCCCTTGCGCCGCCTCCTCTTGCACTGCCTCCTCCCCAGCCCCTTCCCCTCCTCCCCCGCCATCTCCCTCCCCCCTCCACGTGACACAGCTGGTGTCAAAGTCGAAGTGCCAGTCGCCCAGAGCCCCTCCTGCCACCTGCCGCCACACCCTGCTCTGCTCCTGCGCTCTGCTGCCCACCCCGCCCCCGGCGTTCCTCCCTGGCGCCACCAGCACCACCGCATGCGAGGCAGTGCGCACAGGCGAGGGGCACGCAGGGGGAGACGGGGAGTAAGGGAGGAAGGGCGCGAGGGAGGCAGCAAGGGAGTGGTGGGCGGCGCAGAGGAATGGCTGGCAGGCCTGCCACAGGAGAAGGGCGCCCTGGGCTGGTGGGGGGGCGGGCGAAGGCGAGTCGGGGAGAGAGTGGTAGAGGGCATGGGAGAAGGAGAGGAGGCGGAGGAGGAGGCGCGAGATGGACAGGCGGAGGAAGGTGAGGAGGGAGGAGAGGTGTGCAGAGGGCCAGGCGGTGACGTCATCGAGGTGGCCTGTGAATGCTGCGAGGAGCAGAGGGTGTGACATGACGTCAGCTGCCTGCACCATGAACTCACACGCACTCCCATCCTCCTCGCCGCCCTGCTGCCCCTGCTCGCCCCCCCCCCCATTCCATGCGCTGGCAGCGTGCATGGGGTGGGAGGGCGAGGGCAGCGGTGGTGGCATGAGGGTGGCCTCCAGTGCCGCCATGCACACACGCACACCTAGCTGCCGCCGCCTCCATTCCGCCCCCCCCACCTGCTGGGGCCCCCCCATACCCACGCCTAGTACTCGCCCCAGTTCAAACACAACAGCCCTCCCCACCTCCCCCCTCCTCTCCCCCCACAGAATTCCCTCGCCTGGGCGGGCGTGGCTTGCCCCTGCGGCCCTCTCTTGCAGCACATGGGGCGATAGCAGGCGCAGGCGGGCCAGGAGCAGCGCAGCAAGGCAGGAGGCGAGGCGGCGGTGGAGCTTGAGAGGCGAGAGCAGGGCGGGCACGCACAGGGAGAGCAGAGGCGCGCAGGGCAAGGAGAGGAGGAGGTGGGAGAGAGCAGTCGTGGAGGGGTGGGGAGAAGAGGGCATGGGGGGGAGGAAGAGAGGCAGTGGAGAGGCCACTGCGGGGGGCATGTGGTGGTGGTGGCAGGTGGCGGCAGGCTGCAGTGCTTGCTGCGCCAGCACAATCGCTTCCAGCAGCACAGGCGCGTGCACTGGCAGCAGCGAGGGGAGGAGAGCGTGTGCACAGAGAGTGGAGGAGAGAAGATGCATGGCGGGTGGAGGAAGGGAGGCAGCGAGCGAGGCGAGGCGAGGAAGGAGGGCGATGAGCGAGGGTGGGTGGGCCGAGGAGAGGGAGAGAGTGAAGTGTGAGAGGGCAGCATCCCTGCCACTCGCTTGCTCCGCTTGCAGGCTCGCCTCTGCCGCCCCCACTGCTGCCTCCACTGCTGCGCGCCCACCAGCATCACAGGCGTCGCATCTGTGAGCACCCGCCCCAGCCGCACTGTGCGGCCTCTTCCCCCCCCCCTGCTGCTCCTCAGGCGGCACAGGAAGCAGCGAGGCGGCCGACTCTAGCAGCGCTTGCAGGCAGAGCAGCGGCGCAGAGAGGGGGGGGCGACCATGTGGCGCGGGGGAGGACGAGGCGGAGGAGGAGGAGGTGGAGGAGGAGGAGGAGGAGGACAGGGCAGGGCGGAGGATGTGAGTGATGAGAGCAGCGAGTGGGAGAGGGCATTCCTGTTGATAGCCAAGGCAAAGAGAAGAGAAGAGGCGGGCAGGAAAAGGCGAACAGTACAGGTGCAGGCATGAGTGTGTGGATGCAACAGCGGCGTACGCTGGTTTGAGCGGGCATTACAAGGATGTAGGGGGTGGAAGAAAGTTGGGAAGTGGGGAAAAGACAAACAGACTGGGTTGAGTTGAGCAGATAGTGGAGAATCGAGCAGCGGAGAAAAAACAAGGAAAGGGGCAAGCGGTGAGGCACCTGAAGGGAGATGAGGTGGGTCAGGGCGTTGCAGGTGAAGGTGGCGATGGCAAGCTGCACTGGCGGAGATGAGGAGGAGGAGGAGGAGGAAGAGGAGGAGGAGGGGGAGGTGGCATGCAGCACTTTGAGGCAGTTGGTGAGAATGCAGGCAGGGAAGGGACCCAAAGAGGCCATGGGGGTGTGGCCCCGGGCACGGCAGGAGGGGCAGTGGGATGCATGGGCGGGGGGTGGTGAGGCGGCAGGAAGGGCGAGGAGGTACTTGAGAGGCGCGCGGGCCACACACGCCACGGCATCCGCCAGAAACGCCGCCACCCCTCGTGCTGCCGCCGCACTGCTGCAAGCACTGCCAGGTGCCATGGTGGGCAGGAAGCGCAGCCACATGGCAGCCTCTGATTGGCGGGCACGGAAGGCATGCGAGGAGAGCATGGCAGCGGTGCAGAGCCAGTCAACGTCAGGTGCGAGGTCGGCGGGCGGCGGGGAGAGGCGCAGCAACAGCAGCGGCAGCAGATGGTTGTGCAGCGGGCAGGTGCAGAGGAACTCGCCCCCCGCGGGCGCCGCTTCGGCCGGTGCAGGCAGTGGCGGCGTGCTGTGCGCCCCTCCAGTGCCAGCCCCGGGGAATGCAAGGGTGTGTTGAGAAGGCGGCGGGAAGAAGGCAAGGAGGAGGCGCAGAGTGGCTCGCAGCAAGGGGGAGGGCAGCGAGGGCAGGTCGGCGCGCAGGAAGCGCAGCGGATCCACGTGGCAGGCAGCCACGGCAGCCGGCACCACCCTCTGCATGCAGCAGGCGAGGAGAACGGGGGAAGCGGGCATGATGAAAAGTGAAGCAGTAGGTGCACACGAGGCAAGACACAGTTTGATTGGTAGAGAGCGAGAAGTACCTGGTAGAGAGCAAGGAGTACCTGGTAGAGAGCGAGGAGTACCTGGTAGAGAGCGAGGAGGCGCAGAGCCTTGCAGTGCAACAGCAGGCGAACCGACCAGCGCCCTCCCTCCTCCTCGTCATCTATCTCATCATCCATCCCCACCTCCTCCCCCTCCACTTCCTCCACCTCTTCCTCTTCTTCTCCCATCTCTCCCTCTCCCTCCTCCTCCTTCCCCTCCTCCCCCTCACCCCCCCCTTCCTCCATCACCTGCCACTCACCTGCTGCACCCCGCCCTCTCTTCCGCCTGCCGCCCTCCCCTGCGCCCCCTGCTCGCCTCACCCCACACACTGCCCCCCCTCGCGAGGCCATGTGTCCGCCCTCATCCACGCCCCCCGCGCCGCTGCTGGGCTGGGAGGCAGCCAGCACGCCCAGCACGATCTGCACGTCGGGCACGGCGCCCACCACGTGCAGCCGCACCCCCGCCACCACCGCGCTCCAATACCTGCCCGCCACTTGCCGCTCCTCCACCGCCTGCACATTCCCCTCGCTCCTCCTCTCCCCCCCATCCCCACCCTCATTCCCTCTCGCCCACCACAACCCTCCCTCGCCTGCCTCACCTGCTTCTCCCGCTGCACCCGCGCCGGCGTGCGTGGCGGCGAGGGGGAGCGCGAGGGCGAGGAGGGGCAGGGTGGCGGAGAGGCAGTCGAGCAGCGTGCAGAGCGCCAGCAGGCGCACACGGGGCGAGCGGTTCAGCAGGGCGCGCGTGAGGGCGGGGCGCGGCAGGCACGGGGGGAGCATGCGGGCTAGGAGGGGGGAGACGTTGGGCGAGGGGAGGCGCAGGGAGAAGGGCGCGGAGGCGGAGAGGAGGGGCATTGTGGCGCAGACGCGCACGAGGCGGCTCACCAGGGCCATGCCCGCGAACCTGGGGGAGGGGGGGTGCGGCATGGGCGGGTGTGGGGCGAGCAGTGGAGGGGGCATTTGACAAGGCGATTTGGATAACGGGATGATGGAGATTGAGAGAGAAGAGGGGCGAGGAGAAGGAAGAAGATGAGAGGAAGCAGATGAGAAGTGGAAACAACGATCAGTGCAAGAAGGTGTTTGGAGTGAAGCAAGGCACATGGCAGCGTCGTACCAGTGGGCGTGCGGCGTGGGGTGCAGGGAGAAGGGAGGGCGCTGCAGGTAGGCGGCAGCCAGAGGGGGACACGCCTGGGCCATGGCCAGCAGCAGCGAGCGGTGCGCCGCACACTGCAGCACATGCAGCCCACGCGCGAGGCGAATGAGACGATCCATGCCGGCCGACCAATGAGAGGAGGCTTGGGAATCAGCAGCGGCGGAGGCCGATCCGCCCTTGCCCGACTCCCCCTCCGACACCCCTCCAGCACCCTCCGTGTCCGCCGCTCCCCCCTGCCCTTCCTTGCCCCCTCCTCCCATCCCTTCCTCCACAATTTCCTCCCCCTCCTCCCCTTCATCCATCCCCTCCTGTGGTCTCCCCTGCAGCGCGCCCCCCCAACCCCCCCCCACGAGCACGCCATGGCGGGGGTGCATGCACACGGCCAGGAGCACCTGCAGCGCCATCCCTGCTGCCACCGCCCCCGCACCACCCCCCTCCTCCCTTCCCGCCACACGCGCCATCTGCTCCAGCGCACTATCCCCGAACAGAGCTCCCTGCAGGCCGCGTGGCACATTGCTACTGGCCGCCATGACCCGCGTCTGCAGCACCCACAACACCTTGCCAGCTGTCACGGGGTGGTCGCCCGCTAGGCGCCAGAGAATGCCGGCCAGGTTGTGTCTGTGCGCCACGATGGCGTGGGTGAGAGTGGCGGCGTCCGCCACAGCCAGGCACGCCACCACCCACTCCGCCATCAGCACGCGCGCTGGCACCTCCCCCACGTCCGCGCACGCCCCCGCCCCTTGCTTGCCCATCAATACCCCTACCGCCCCCTCGACCCCCTCCTCCCCCTCCTCCCCCTGCTCCCCCTGCTCCGCCTGCTCCGCCTGCTCCCCCTGCTCGCCCCCCACGACCACCGCTGGTGTGCCAGACCAGAACACGGCGCCTGCTGCCCCCCCTTGTGCGCCCACATGCTTCCCTCTCTCGCCTCTCCCTCTCCCCCCGCTGCCCGGCGCCTGGGAGGGCGCGGGGGGCTGGGTGAGGGCGGGGAGGGCGGGGAGGGAGAAGTCGAAGGAGAGGAGGAGGTAGCGCGTGAGGGCAGGGGAGATGAGGGAGAGCGCGAGCAGCAGGCGCAGGGCGGAGGTGGCGTGCACGTGGGAAGGGGAGGAGAGGTGCGCGTAGAGGCCGCCCTTCCTGCAGCACCGCGGCAGCAGGGCGCGCGCCAGCGCCTCTATGCGGCGGGGGAGGGACAGAGGCGCGCCCAGCACGGGCGGAGGGACGGAGGGAGGGGCGCGCGCGGGTGTGTGGGGGAGAGGGCGCGGCGTGTGCGCGGCGAGGGCGAGGATGTCCGCCAGCACCGCCATCAGCGGCACGGCCATCTGCGCACGGGCGCGACGGGGGACGCGAGGAGGAAGGAGAGAGGGACACTGTGAGTGAGGGCACGAAAGCCGGGGGAGGTGAAAGAGGTTCTGGGCGCAGGGTTTACGAGCGGGATTACAGGTTGGGGGTTCAGCAGCGCGTGATCAGGGCCTTGCAGCTTGAGTGCGCAGCGACGCGGGGAGCGGAATGGGCGGCGGGCCCACCTGGTGCGAGGCGCCGCGGCGGTGGCAGGCGTCCCACAGGCGGAGCAGCTGCAGCCAGTCCGGCGGCGACACGCGCACGTACGCGTCGACGGCCCGCGCGCCGTGCTTCACGATGCGCGCGTGCAGGCGCTGCAGCCCGTCGATCACGGCGGCGGGCTCCGCCTTGTCCAGCTGCGCCACCGCCTTGCGCATCTCCGCCCCCATGCGCTCCCACCGCTTCCCCGCCTCCACCGCTGTCGGCTCCTCCGCCCTCCCCGGACTGCCCACGTCGTCGTCCCCTTCCGCGCCTCCCGATTCTGCCCTGTCCATGATGCCGCTCGCTCGGGTCACCTACCAGCTACCAGATACCAGCTGCGTGCCTCACAGGTGGAACAGTGCAATCAGCGTGCGCGACGGCATGGGGTGGGAGCGCCCAGTCTAAAGCAACGGCGGTTGCGCGCGGTGCCTGAAGACGAACGTCACGCGCGAATCTAATGTGTGACGGGAAGTGGTGCTCTATGCATTCTTCTGGCGAGGAGCCGCTATGCGAGTTTCGTTCGTGAGTCGCCTCAAATTGAAGCGAGGATCAGCTTTCTGTCATTCGGGTTCAAACCCAAAAGCATACATGCTCCAGTGATTGGTGCTCATACTCGATATTGAAATACAAGTCAACCTCTCTACACGCCTCTGTGACAAAAGAATAGTGTAGGCACGGATAGCCCACAACCTCCTGGCCCAAGCTGTGTCCGTTCACCCCACCATCTCTCTCGCACTTTCACTCATATCTCCGCCTCGCGCTGCTCCGAGAGTCTCACCTCACCGTCATAGCACGTGCCTCGTGGATTCTACTCACTGTCGTCGTCCTACCTTACCTACCCGTCGCACCCACCAGTCGCTCCATCCATTCGTTTTCGCAAGCCAGCCGTTGCTGTGTTCACCGAGGCTCGCGAGTCCTCGTGTCGTGAGGCCACGTGTCCGTGTCGCCTCGCCTTCACCGCCATCCTTCGCGTCGACCCGCTCTCCGCGTTGACCTCGCCGCCGCTCTCGCGACTATCGCCTCTCCGAGCGCGCGCTCTCGTCGCGATGCCCACCCACCTGCCGCACGCCGACGTTGCCTCCCCCGCCACCCACGCGCTGCACTCCTCGCCGTCGGCCCTCATGCCTCCACCAGGGGCCACCGCCGCCTCCCCCTTGCCCTCCACGCCCTCCCCCTCGCAGCCCGGCTCCTACCCCATGTCGCGCGTCGCTCCCCCTTACGCACTTGCCGCTAACGCGCCGGGCGGACTGGCAGGTGGCGCAATGGGGGGAATGATGAGCCCCACGGCGAGCGCGCAGCTGCGCTCGTCTGCGCTTGCCAACAACCCTAACGCCTCTTCGCAAGGTGCGCCTTCCCCCTCCGCCATGCCGCCAAATATGGGGAAGGCCGGCGCTTCCCCAAGCTCCTCTGCTTCGCTGCCCGCCCTGCCCTCCTCCCTGCACCTCCCTGGCAACATGCGCGGCCCCCAGTCCGCCCCCACCATGTCGTCGCACTTCTCCCCCTCCTCAGCCGCCCCCCAATACCCCTCACAGGCGCAATCCGCGTCGCCTGGCGGAGCCTCCTATTCCCCCTCTGCGCCGCACCTGCAGCAGCAAGGCTACAGCGCCAGCCCAGGGGGAGGCGCGCGGGGCGGAATGCAGCAGGTTGGGGGAAGCGGAGGGCAGGGGGGAACGGAGCAGGCAGAGCAGCATGGGAGGGGGGTGGTGGGGTCAAGCGGCATGGGATATGGAGCCAGGGGACAGGCAGGCGCACAGGTGCGGTGTGGTGTGATGTGGTGCAATGTGGTGCGATGAGATGTGCATGGTTGTGCGAGGCATGGCGTGGGTGGCATGGCATGGCAGCGAGGCAAGGCCACAAGGGCGCCCCCAAAGGCGGATGCTCACAGACCGCTGCGTGCCCGCCTCCCCATCTCGTGCATCCCTACTCTCATCTCCCTTTCCTTTTACGCTCCCCCCTTCACTGTCTCGTCTCGCCTTCTCCCTGTGCCTCCACGCCCCCCCCATCCTTTTTCCCGTTTTACTTCCGTCCACTCCCTCCCTGACGCTCTTACTCCCTGCTTCTTGCCCTCCCTGTCCTGTCCGCGTTGCACATCGTCCTTCCCACTCCTTCATCTCCTCTTGCACCCCCTGCCGCCCATCCCACAGCAGCACGGGCAGCATGGGCCGGTGGGAGGCATGTCTCCCTTGTCGCCCACCCAGGGCAAGCAGCAGCACTTCGCCCCCTCTCCGCATCACCACCAGCTGCAGCAGCAGCAGAAACAACAACAACTAAAGCAACAGCAGCAGCAGCACCAGAAACAGCAACAACAGCAGCAACAACAACAACAGCAGCAACATCAGCAGCAGCAGCAACAACAGGCGAAGGCGGCACAGGCAGCACAGCAGGCGTCTGGCAGGGTGCCAGGGCGACCAGGTGCTGCTGCTGCAGGCAGCGCCTCGGGGGAGGCTGCAACTGGTGCAGGTGATGCTGCTCACGCCAATGTGGAGGGAAAGAAGCTTCTGGGAAAGAGGACTTTGCAAGAACTGGCAAAGCAGGTGGGCAGCGGGTGGGTCAGGGATGTGCAGATTAGTGGCTGAGTGCTCCTGCCCGCATACCCACCATGCCCAAAGCTTACTTCTTGACTCAGTCCCCTGAAATTATTATGGCATGCTATGGCATACGACATGGGATGTGGCATGGGGCATGTGGCATGTGGTGGGGTGGGCAGGTGGATGCGCGCATGCAGCTGGAGCCCGAGGTGGAGGAGGTGCTGCTGGACCTCGCTGACGACTTCATCCAATCCGTACCATCCACCGCCCCCTGCCCACCCCACTTCCCACGCACCCACTGCACTCGCAAGCCTGCCACCTACTTGGCACTCCCTCATATTGTTGGCTGTTCCGATGCCTATGTTCCATGTGATTGGATGCAATGCAATCCCTACATCTAATCATGCTTGCATTGCATGGATGGCATGTGTGCATGGATGGCATGTGTGCGTGCTGTGTCTGTGTGAGGGCAGGTGACGGCGTTTGGGTGTCAGCTGGCGAGGCATCGCAAAGCGCAGGTGTTGGAGGCCAAGGACGTCCTGCTGCACCTCGGTGCGCCCACTTGCCGCCCTCCACCACCCTGCCTTTCCACTCTGCTCGTTTCTTTTGCGCCACCCGCACCCTCCGCTGTGTCCTTCGTTACCTCCATGCCGTGCCGTGCCGTGCTGCCACCCACTGCTGCCTGTGTGTTGCGTGTGTGTGGCAGAGCGCAGCTGGCACATGCGCATCCCTGGCTTCACGGGGGACGATTACCGCGTCTACAAGCGCCCTGTCAGTTCTCTTCCTGCACCCTCTCACTGCTCTTGCTTCGCCCTCTCAGTGCTCTTGCTGTGTGTTGCACGTATGGTGCCGTTCAGATTGCTTTCCGGGCGCGATGTATATGGCTTGGGCAGTGATGGGGCATGGTACGGTGTGCTTGTGATTTGGCACCAGGACCTCACATGCTCTCCGTCTTCATCTGCACCCTGCCTTGCGGCTGTGCTCGCCGTGTCCTGCCCTCCATCTTGCTCTGTGCAGCCTGTCACGGAGGCGCATCGCCAACGCCTCGCAGCAGTGAGTGCCTTCTCGCTGTGTTGCTCCTCGGCTGCATCTCTTGCTGCATACCCATCTGTCACCACATGTCTTTCCGGCGCATAATTGTATTGGTATCAAGAACCGAACTGTGCTGCCCCTATCACAGTGTCTCTAACTGTACCGACGTGCCTCATCCTGCCCATCATGGCATGGCGTGCTGCTCACCCTCACCTCCCAGGTTCGCCGCTCTGCAGCCATCGCAGCCAACGAGGCTCACGCCTCGCCCTCTGCTGCTGCTGCCCCCGGCTCCAGCGGCCCCCATGGCCACACTGCTGCTGCTGCAGCAGCACACGCAGCACAGGCTGGCGGGTTGGAGCAGGGAGCACATGCGAGCATGGCGAAGCTCGCATCTCCCAACTTCAAGGGACCCGGAGGAGCATCAGGGCCGTTAAGTCCTGTGGGAGGCACGGTGCAAGCATTCAAGCATTATTGAGAAGAAATTGCATTTGGGAACCCAAGCTGTTTAAAAGCAAGTGGGTGCTTGATGTACGGTATGTTTTTGTAGTGTTGTCCACTAGATATTATGGTGTACCAGTAGGCAGATTCGGGTTTTAGTGAGGAAGTTGTCGCTCGCACCTCAACATCTCCGCGAAAGAATTTCGTGGGTGTCGACTTGGCGCTACGCAGTTGGTCCACCCGCAGTGCCCTCGTCGCCATCACCCCGCGCGTTATCGTGTTTCGTGAACCGCCCTGCTGTCGCTCCCAACTCTTCGCCACGCACTCAGTTGCTCCCACTCTCATTCCCAACACACTCCTTCACTGCCTTCACCCCGTTCCACTTGCCCCTCGCCGCATTCCGCGCCTGCCTTAGCGCACCGCATCTTCGTCGCTGTCGCTCAGTTCGACGATGTCGGGACTGGCGATGGATGCCCGACTAGCGACGCGAACTCACCTGTCGCTTGCAACAGTCGCACAATCGCCTGTGCGACTAAGCGAAAGAGGTGTAAGAGCATGGCGAGTGTCGGCAACTCCAGGGCTGCAACCAAGCAACGCGCAGTCGCTGGCATGGCGTGAATCGTGGCACGCACCTCTGCCGCTGGCCCTCTCGCCCATGCGGCAAACGCGGAGAGGGCGGTGGGCTGTTGGCGCGGCGAAGGGGGGGGAGGCGGAGGGGGCCGGGGCGGAGGGGGCAGGGGCGGAGGGGGCAGAGTCATCGACGGCGTTGACAGCCGTGGAGGCGCAACCGCTCGAGAGGCGACCAGATAACTGTGAGTGGGCAGGTGTACACGTGAATCGCCTCGCAGCGTCGTAGGCCGTGAGGTGGGGGTGGCACGTGTGGTCCGCGTAAGAGACGCGCAGTAGAGGCGTTGACGCTAGCGCACGGGGAGGGCGCAATCACACTCCCGCTGTTTGCCCTTTCCCCTCTTTTCACGTTCCATGCGCCCCACGTGCTGTTCCCCCCGCGTGTCTGCTCCGTGCGCCCCATGACGGGGGTTGCAGGGGTGAGTCCGGCGCTGCTGCAGGAGATGGGCGAGGAGGAGCGGACGCCGATTCAGAAGTGGCTGAACCCGGGGCAGGACGAGCTGCCGGACGACGTGCCCATGAGCATCTGGGACCACCTCGAGGAGCTGCGCGAGCGCGTGCTGGTGTCCGTGGGCGCCGTGGGCGCCGCCATCCTGCTCTGCTTCTTCTTCAGCCGCGACCTCGTGGTGTTCCTCGAGGCCCCCGTGTACGCCCAGGGCGTGCGCTTCCTGCAGCTCTCGCCAGGGGAATACTTCTTCACCACGCTCAAGGTGAGTGAGGCGCTTCACCACGCTCAAGGTGAGTGCCACCTTGCGACGCAAGGTAGACGCGTTTAGTACCACAAGCACACCACACACGCCAGCATTCATCGCATGCCATTCCTTGTGGTGTGACCCATGTCATGCCCCACGCCATGCCCCATACCATGCCCCATGCGGTGCGTCCGTATCATCTCTCCCATCCCTGGCTGGCAGGTGGCGGGGTACTGCGGGCTGCTGCTGGGGGGCCCGGTGATTCTGTACGAGGTGATAGCATTTGTGGTGCCGGGGCTGACAGCCAGCGAGCGGCGCTTCCTGGCGCCCATAGTGTTTGGGTCGTCCGTGCTCTTCTACTCGGGCATTGCCTTCAGCTACTCCGTGCTCACGCCCGCCGCACTCAACTTCTTCATCTCGTATGCCGAGGGCGTGGTGGAGTCGCTGTGGTCCATCGACCAGTACTTCGAGTTCGTGCTGCTCCTCATGTTCTCCACTGGCCTCTCCTTCCAGGCAAGCTCCTCTCCTTCCAGGCAAGCTCCTCTCCTTCCAGGCAAGCTCCTCTCCTTCCAGGCAAGCTCCGCTCCTTCCAGGCAAGCTCCTCTCCTTCCAGTCAAGCTCCTCTCCTTCCAGGCAAGCTCCTCTCCTTCCAGGCAAGCTCCTCTCCTTCCAGGCAAGCTCCTCTCTTCCCATGCAAGCTTCTCTCCTTCCAGGCAAGCTCCTCTCTTCCCATGCAAGCTTCTCTCCTTCCAGGCAAGCTTCTCTCTTCCCATGCAAGCTTCTCTCCTTCCAGGCAAGTTTCTCATCTCAGAGGGAAGTTTTTCCTCCCAAGGAAGTTCCCTTCCTTCCAGGCAAGTACCTCTCCCAGGCCAACGCCTCTTATCCCACATGCATGCATCCTCACCACCATGCATCTGCACATCTCCACCATTGCACACCCACATTCCCACACAGTCATATGCCCTCTCGTCCTCCAACACCACACATGCCAGATTCCCACCATCACTCCTTGACTCGACCCCCATGTCCCTCCCCGCCGCGCATCCTCCCTTCCCCCTTCATGTTTGTGGCAGGTGCCAGTGATTCAGCTGCTGCTGGGGCAGCTGGGGCTGGTGACGGCGGATCAGATGCTGGGCATCTGGCGCTACGTGGTGGTGGGGGGAGTCACAGCCGCCGCCGTGCTCACGCCCTCCACCGACCCGCTCACGCAGTGCCTGCTGGCAGGGCCCCTCATCGGCCTCTACATGGGCGGCGCCTACCTCGTCAAGCTGCTCGAAGGCTCCAAGTCCCCCGCGTAGCCGCTGCCTCTATACTCGCTAGTGTAGGTAGAGTTCTTTATTGCTTATAGCTCAGTTGTGTCACAGAGTTTAGGCTCCACGAGTCAGGGAACAGCCGCGCCAAACTGCATGCAATGATATGAAGTTAGCACTGATTTTGCCACGCGGCCATGATTCAATAGAAGAACAGAACTGGACTTTAATTGATCAATGGAATCTTGCAAAGTACTGGTCTCTTGCATTACCACATCACTCTACACTTGTGCTTGCTTCTCCGCTTTGGAGATTGCATCCATCTCAACGGCATCATAGGTTGTCAGCCCCGTTCCCATGCCATCGGCACTGCCATCAGCACCACCTGCACGAGTCACTGCACTCGACTCAGAGGTGCTGACCGCCATTTCAAACGCTGCACTGCCTGCTGGGCTACCCTGGGCACGGGGGGAGGTGAGGCGCGTGTGGGCGTGGGCACGAGGGCTCATGCTGGTGGCCAGCAGCACGTGCGTGGAGTCCCGGGTGCCGCGGGGAGAGAGAGGATATGCTTGGGGGGCGGAGGAGGAGGGCGAGGGGGGGTGGTGCAGCAGCTGCAGTTGCTCGGAGGACATGCCCGGGTGGTCAGGAAGGGGTGCATCGCTGAGCGTGTGCACCAGATGGCCGTCAGACTCCCGTGCCTTGTTGCGAGACACCCTGCCACCCAGCATGCACGCACACGCACGCACGCACGCACGCACGCACACACGCACGCACACATGCACGTCCACACACAATCAGCAGTTTGTACAATCTATAGCTGCCGACACGAGACACAGCCACCGCCACAGCACCTGGCATAGGCACATGTGCTGGTGGATAGCACGATATACAGGCAACGAATTTGCATTAGCAAGAGGTGGAATTGGCCAGACAATGTTGATCGCCTGTGCCTTGCTGCACTGTGCCTTGCTGCCTGACTGCGCTGTGCGTTGGCATGGGTGGCATGTGGCTGGGCATGGGACTCACTTGTAGAGGTTGAAGAGGGAGACACCAAGCATGATGATGAGAATGCCCACCAGGTTGATGCGCGTGAATCGGTCGCCAAACACCGCATGCGACACCTGAGGACCGCAGCGACAGAGGACGCAGAGGCATGCACATAGAAACAGGCATGGCGGCACACACGAGTGATTCAGCATCAGGATGGCAGGAGCATAGGGAGGGCGAGAGAGCAAGGCGCTGCAAGGACATGGGCGGAGATGAGGGGATGCAGAGCTCTTACTCGCACTTTTGGCTGCCATCATAACATGCATGCGTGGATGCATGATTCCATGCACCCACTTATGCACCCACCCATGCACCCATCTATGCACCACATGTGCACCACCTGTGCATTGGAGCACTGCATGAAACACTCATTTGCACACCGCTGCTTCCTTTCTCCTCATTCTCACTGGCATCACTGCTCCCCCCCTCCCCCGTGTGGCTCACAAGGATGGTGGCGGCCTCCTTGACGGTGCCGGCCACAGAGAAGGTGACGGCGCTCGTCTCCAGCACCAGCAGGAACTCCGCCATGATCTACCGCCCGGCCCCGTGCCCCCCGTGCCCCGTGCCATCCACACACGCCAGCCACCCACGTGGGGGTTGTGGGCGTGGGGGCGAGGGGGGGAAGGGCAGGTAGGCGTGGGGCAGTGGTTTACAAGGGTGCTGCTACATGCACACACACATGAACACACATATAGAAACGCGCACACACACACACACACACACACACACACACACACACACACACACACACACACACACAGAAAAACACGCACGCGCACACACACACGAATGCATGTACGCATGCACGCACAAGCATGCACGCACCATGCAGAAGGCGAGGATGCCGCCCACGAGCATGATGGCGAAGCTCCAGAGGGTGTGCTGCCACGTGTCAAAGTAGGGCGAGGACGTGAGCGTGGACCACGGCTCGTGGAGCAGGGAGAAGACGCCGCACACGAGCGCCATCACGGGCGCCAGATAGGCCAGCGTGAGCAGCGGGTTGGTGAGGCCTGGTGGGGGAGGGGGCAGAGAGGGGGTGGTGAGAGCTGAGGGGGACGAGGTGGACTGGGAAGGAGATAGTGGCATGGCGGGAAAGAGGAGGATTGTGGCGTGTGGCAGGAGCAAGCACAGCAGAGCACACAGGCACTGTGAGGCTGCACAACTTGAGGTGGGACAGGAGGAAGGGGCATGGCAACGGATGCTTACCAAGTTTGTCCCCCTGCCGCCAGTGCAATCGGCAATAAGGGATGGGGAGATGGTGAGTTGACATTCCATGGGTTGAAAATGCACATGTTGGGAACACGCAAGGGGAGACAGGACACAAATTCAGAAAATGATCAGTTGATGATTACATACTCAGCAGCAGCACAAAGCAGTACGCAGCAGTACAGAGCAGCAGCAAAGCAGCAGCACAGAGCAGAAGACAGCAGCGGCGCACCTGCAGGAGCACTTGCAGCAGCACCCATCTGAGTCCCGACACAAATGCTGCCACCATGACCAGAATGAAGCCCAGCAGCTGAAACTCCGTCTCCCCCGCCACTGCAAGCCACCCATGGGCACACGGAATGTTGGAAGCGTGGATCGGGCCTTGTGATGCCAATTGGGGTAGAGGGCCTTGTGATGCCAATTGGGGTAGAGGGCCTTGTGATCCCAATTGGGGTAGAGGGCCTTGTGATGCCAATTGGGGTAGAGGGCCTTGTGATGCCAATTGGGGTAGAGGGCCTTTTTTGTGATACAAGAGGAATTTTGAAGTGTGGTAAGACAAATGCTGGATGATAATTGTAACATCCTCCTAGCCCCCTCCTCCTCCCCCTCCCGTCCCCCCTGCTCCCCCCCTCGCCCACCTGTGAAGAGCACACCGACGGAGATGACGAGCATGATGCCCAGCAGCTTGAAGCTTGGCGTCTCTAGGCTTCACAAGGCATGGGGGTTAGAGGAAGTGCGGGAGGGAGGGGGAGAGAGGGAGCAGAGGTGGGGTAGTGTTGAGAATGAGGAGAATTGAAGTGGTACTGGCAATGGTAATGACGATGGGGAGAATTGAATCGTTGCTGGTAACGAGGGCGAAGAAGTGAAATGTGTCATGTGCGTGGGTACGGCCGTAGATGGCGGTTATGTGTGGTGGATGACGGTCATGTGTGGTGGATGACAGTCATGTGTGGTGGATGACAGTCATGTGTGGTGGATGACAGTCATGTGTGGTGGAAAGGCGGTCATGTGTGGTGGAAAGGTGGTCATGTGTGGTGGAAAGGTGGTCATGTGTGGTGGAAAGGTGGTCATGTGTGGTGGAAAGGTGGTCATGTGTGGTGGAAAGGTGGTCATGTGTGGTGGAAAGGTGGTCATGTGTGGTGGAAAGGTGGTCATGTGTGGTGGAAAGGCGGTCATGTGTGGTGGAAAGGTGGTCATGTGTGGTGGAAAGGTGGTCATGTGTGGTGGAAAGGCGGTCATGTGTGGTGGAAAGGCGGTCATGTGTGGTGGAAAGGCGGTCATGTGTGGTGGAAAGGTGGTCATGTGTGGTGGAAAGGCGGTCATGTGTGGTGGAAAGGTGGTCATGTGTGGTGGAAAGGCGGTCATGTGTGGTGGAAAGGTGGTCATGTGTGGTGGAAAGGCGGTCATGTGTGGTGGAAAGGTGGTCATGTGTGGTGGAAAAGCGGTCATGTGTGGTGGAAAGGCGGTCATGTGTGGTGGAAAGGTGGTCATGTGTGGTGGAAAGGTGGTCATGTGTGGTGGCTCACCGGAAGAGGAAGGCGAAGAGGAGGAGGAAAACAGGCGCGCTGGACTTGCACTGCAATATGTGCAGGCAGGAGAGAGGGTTAGTAAAGGGGTGAAGGTTTATGCCACTTGTGATGTACGAGTCAATTATTATTCTATATGCATCACAAGGTGCTTCGTAGAAAGCAGCGAAATAAGAATGCCAGATTTGTTTTTTTCTGTGAAACGACCACATAAGTGGATACATTTGTCTGAAAAGACTGCAGTGAATGAAGCGGATGAGATCTGGCTCAGAGGAGAGGGGGGAAACGGGCAGGAAGGCGTACCATGGTGTAGAAGGTGAGGGTGATGAGCGCGAGAGAGAGGTTGGAGAGGGCGATGTCAAGCGATGTGGCCACTGCTGTGGGCACCACTGCATGCACGTGGACGACACACAGCACACAGCACACGGGGCACAGGCCGACACACGGTGAATTGTGCACAAGTAAGGACTGGTCAGACAGTCACCTGAAGCACCCTCGATGGACAAGTTTCAGAACGTGCGGCCAACCCCCTCCCCTCTTCCAGCATACCCGCCTCCTCTCGCCAAAGGGCTTACCTCGCAGGAAGTAGTCGCGCCAGGAGATGGGGGTGGCGGGCAGCCACGACTGGCAGCAGCAGCGCAGCAGCAGCGAGGCGATGCCGCCCTGCAGCAGGAAGTGGAAGGTGGTCATGAGCAGCGGCGCGGGAAAGCGCCCGTGCTTCTCGCCGATGAGCACCTTGTTGTACCTGCCCACGCACCATTGCCCCGCCCGTGCACAGTGCAGGGGGCATGGCATGGCGGGAGTGCATGGCATGGCGGGAGTGCATGGCATGGCGGGAGTGCATGGGTACAGTTAAGGGCAATGAAAGGTTCCTGACAAGGGGCAATAAGGCCGAAAGGGACGGAATAGGTACAAGGACCAGCCCAGGGAAAAAATGGTCGCCCAGAGAGAGCGGCAGCTACAAGGAGAGCGGCAGCTACAAGGAGAGCGGCATGCTTACAGGGAGAGCGCCATGCTTACAGGGAGAGCGCCATGCTTACAGGGAGAGCGCCATGCTTACAGGGAGAGCGCCATGCTTACAGGGAGAGCGCCATGCTTACAGGGAGAGCGCCATGCTTACAGGGAGAGCGCCATGCTTACAGGGAGAGCGCCATGCTTACAGGGAGAGCGCCATGCTTACAGGGAGAGCGCCATGCTTACAGGGAGAGCGCCATGCTTACAGGGAGAGCGCCATGCTTACAGGGAGAGCGGCATGCTTACAGGGAGAGCGGCATGCTTACAGGGAGAGCGGCATGCTTACAGGGAGAGCGCCATGCTTACAGGGAGAGCGCCATGCTTACAGGGAGAGCGCCATGCTTACAGGGAGAGCGCCATGCTTACAGGGAGAGCGCCATGCTGAAGGTGTACCAGAGCAGCACGAGCAGCAGCACCTTAACCACCGACCACAGCCACGGCTCGCACCATGCCGACACGCGCCCACCAAACGCCGATGCTGACTCAGCAAGATCATCCTCCAGCTCGTCTGCCGGCACAATGACGTCGTCTCCATTCGCTATAAGCCGACTCGATTCCGCTTTTGGCGAGACGGCCGTGATCGAGTCAGCCTGGAAGGCATCGCTTTTGGCAATTCGCGGCGAGAGCAGCTCTTGGCTATCATTGGTCGACATGACGGCGAACAGGAACAGCTACGATGTGGAATTCGTCATTACACGAATGGATTCTCGACGCGAGGTAGAATGAAGCTCCAGATCGTACGGTTCAGAGTAATTCGAATAAGAGGGACGAACGCGGCTAAGTGACGCGACACAGGGTCGTGAGGAATGAATTAACGCCAGATCGCAGAATTGTACGGCTTGGATCTTTCTCCCATAGCGCGATCGACCCGCGAACCGAGCGACTGCACGCGCTAGTCGCTCAAGGTGAGGCGCCGCTCCATAGGACGCCGTGACGGAAGTAGGAGAGTCGCAGCGCGGGCAGTGCGATGAAGGATGGCTGGTGTTGGAAGTGTGTGCCCGTCACTGCTCTGCTTCAACAGATTCCGAGGTTGGTCTGTTGCTGTTTGTGTCTGACGAACCAAACAGCGGGCCAAACCAATCGGAACGAAGGGCAGGAAGAACCTGCTCCTAGCCTTGGCACTGTAACGCCGCCAATTCGGCAAAGAGTGACTCGACACGGGATGGGTGGCTAGTTCCGAATTCACTCTGTTGTGTCTACAAGCGATGATCGTCAGGTGTTATATCGAGGACGAAATGACGACACTTCGGATTTCGCGGTCCCATCGCAGCCCTTGCTGCGACTCCTAGGCCAGACCTATCCCCAAACCCGCTGGCCCCAAAACCTTGAAAACTCTGCAAGGGCTCAGCTTCCTCGGTGTCTGCGAGTTCTAGGTCGAGTCTGTCCGTTGCATACGATAGCCGCATCGTGCCTAGAGTGCGATAACTGCCATTCAGCATGGCGGGAACGGCGCTGTCGCGACAGCTGCGGCAAATCGCCCTCTCGACGGGCCCAACTGCAGCTGATGTCGTCACCAAGTCGAGCGGCAAACGCGGGGCGCACATTAGGCCGTCCCTTATTTTCGAGGCAAAGGAAGCCGCTGACGTGGACGCGGAAACCATCTTACACATGGCGCAAGCAGGTTGGCGCAAAATCGTCATACCTTTTTCCTAATCTGTTAGCGTCAATTGCGTAGTCTCGCGGGCCCCTAGATCTCGATGCCCGTGCTCTACACTGACACGACACGCCTGCCCTCGCGGCTCCGAACCCCGTACTCCTCTGTCACGCCAATATCCTTCACCCGTTGCGCCCAACCCGTCTCACCGTGCGCGCGTGCAGGTCTGGCGGAGCTGGTGGCGATGGACGCGCGCTTCAAGCCGTTTCTCAGCACGCTCTTCTCGCCCGCCACCCTGCAGACGGATCGCGACGACGAGCCGCCCGACGTGGTGGCGGCGCTGGACCGGTCGATCGACGCGTTCCTCATGCTGCTCTCCGACGCGCTGCTGCTGCCCGCCAGCCACAAGCCGCTCGAATACCTCATCCGCAAGTACCGGTGCGCGCATCCAAGCCCTATCCGTTGCACCTTTCCCCAGATACCTCTGTCTTTCCATCTTTACGCACACCTCTGACTTCTCCTCTCCTCTAAACCTTCCCTTCTCCGCTCCCATTTCCCCACGCACGCGCTGTGGTGTGGGTGCGCGCAGGGTGCAGCAGTGCAACGTGGACTCGCTGGTGCTGGCGGCGCTGCCGTACCACGAGACGAGCCTCTTCGTGCGCATCGTGCAGCTGCTCTCCCTCAAGTAAGCCGCATCACACCCGCTGCTCTCCCTCAAGTAAGCCGCATCACACCCGCTGCTCTCCCTCAAGTAAGCCGCATCACACCCGCTGCTCTCCCTCAAGTAAGCCGCATCACGCCCGCTGCTCTCCCTCAAGTAAGCCGCATCACGCCCGCTGCTACCCCTCAAGTAAGCCGCATCACGCCCGCTGCTCTCGTGCTCCACGAATCCACTGACCAGGCCCATGCAGCCAATGCCGTCCGGAATGGCAGGCCTACAGATGATTGGCTCGCTATGCTCGTTCGCTGTGCACATGCATGGACATGACAGCAGCCAGAAACAGCTGCCGCCCCCCACACCTTCACAACGTCTGCCCCCTTCCTTCCGCTGCGGCAGGCATTCCAAGTGGGCGCCAGTGCTGCACGGCTGCAAGGCCAATGGCGCGGCAATCCCGAGGGCGCAGCTCGTGCAGAGATGCGTCAAGGATGACTCCTTCTTCCATGCCATGTGCCATGCGGTATGCCTCCCTCCATGCCATGTGCCATGCGGTATGACTCCCTCCATGCCATGTGCCATGCAATATGACTCCTCCCATGCCATGTGTCATGCCCCATGTGCTTGCTGTTGCTTTCACTCCGTGACGCTCGACCCTCTCGTTTTCCCCTCACACTCTGCTCCTCATAACATAATCACCCTATCACACTCACCTTCATCATCGCAAAGCCAATCATCGTTCCTTGTACTCAAGCCTGCTCCCTCCCGTGTGCGCCATTCACTCGCCCCCGTCAGGCGGAGAAGGCGGCTACCTGTGTGGTCCGGGACAGCCCTGCATCCGCGTCTCCCCCCACGGCGCCTGCAGCGCCCGCCATGCGGCTGCTGACCTTCACGAGCGTGCTGCTGCTGGAGGCGCTGGCTGCCATGCGCGTGTCCGTGGACGCACTCTCCCACCTGCTGCCCTTCATCCTCAACGGCCTTCAGCCCTCCGCCGTGCATGAGCACAGGGTAATCCTGCTGCCTCTGTCCCCCCTCACTGTGCACCTCCTCTCCCCACCATGCCATGCTGCTCTCAACCCAGAATGCCAAGTCTCGTGCGCCAGCTCAGCTCAGCATAAAATGCATGGTGTGGCAGCTATTCAGTCCATTCCTCTCCTCCGTATGACTTCCTACCCCGCTGCCCACCCACCTGTCCCCCCCCATCAGCTGGCGGCCATGATGCTGGTGTCGCAGCTGGCCAACCGCTCGCAGCTCTCCACGCAGGTCGTCAACTCCCTCCTCGTCGCCCTCCTCTCCCCCACCGCTGCCGCTGCCTGTGCTGCCCCCACTGCGCGCGGCATGAGAGCACCACCGACCGCCATCTCCATGGACGCCTTCCTCGTGGTCGTGCACCTCTGTGCGGTCAGTGCCCTCGCTCATCTTCTCTCCCATCCCCTCTCCTGTGCCCCTCATCCCATCGGGGCTCTTGTCTCATCCCATCGGGGCTCTTGTCTCATCCCATCGGGGCTCTTGTCTCAGTCTGCTCGACTTATTCAACAACCTCATTCGTGTAGCCTAACGTGCAAATTGCTCCGTCTGCTGTCTCGTCCTCTGTTCTTCCGTGTGTCTCTGACAGACGCAACGAATCCTGTCTCTCCCATCCAGGGCAGTCACCAACATTCTCGCAGACAAGTACGTCCAATCCAATGGCGCAAGTGTCATGCCGTGCGTGGAATGGCATTTGGTGACATAAAATTTTGTGCCAGGCATGGGAAGGAGGGATGAGGATGGGGTCATCATTGCAGTGCATGAATCAGATAGGACAGGTTGGTTCAAATGGGATGGGTTTGCATGGGTTCGAACGGATTGGTTCCCCCGCTTTTCTTATAGTGGCCGCTTCCTGTACTCCCCCATATCATGTGCTGTGCCAACTCCACCCCTGCCTGCACCCCTTGGCCCGTGCTGTGGCCCACTATGCTCCGGTCAAGTGCTCTTCATCCTTCCTTTCCTCAGAAGCCGCTCTCCCTCGCTGTGCCTCCTCAACGCCCATGGGTACGCTGCAGGCACTTTGTGGATGTGCTGAGCACGGCGGCACACAAGTTCAACACGGCCAAGATTCTCAACCTGCTGGCTGACACACTGCTGCCCAAGATGTACGCATGCCAGTGATGTACGCATGCCAGTGATGTACGCATGCCAGTGATGTACGCATGCCAGTGATGTACGCATGCCAGTGATGTATGCATGCCAGTGATGTACGCATGCCAGTGATGTATGCATGCCAGTGATGTATGCATGCCAGTGATGTATGCATGCCAGTGATGTATGCATGCCAGTGATGTATGCATGCCAGTGATGTATGCATGCCAGTGATGTATGCATGCCAGTGATGTATGCATGCCAGTGATGTATGCATGCCAGTGATGTATGCATGCCAGTGATGTATGCATGCCAGTGACGTATGTGTGCCAGTGATGTATGCGTGCCAGTGATGTATGCATGCCAGTGATGTATGCGTGCCAGTGATGTATGCGTGCCAGTGATGTATCCATGCCAGTGATGTATCCATGCCAGTGATGTATGCATGCCAGTGATGTATCCATGCCAGTGATGTATGCATGCCAGTGATGTATCCATGCCAGTGATGTATCCATGCCAGTGATGATCTATGCTGCCATCTCGTCCCTCACGTGCGTATCTCCCATCCCTTCCCTCCCTGGTGTCCCCCGAACGCCACAGTGCAACATCGCAGGCGGCGGCGGATGTGCTGCTGGCCATGCTGCGCCAGCTGCCGCGTGCAGCACTCTCCCCTCTCGTGCCTCGCCTCGCCCTCTCCCTGCTGCGCTTTGCCGTGGGCAAGGGCCTGCCACAGGGGGCACCTGTGGTGCTCTCCTCCCTGCGTCAGTCACACACCTCCAACCCAGCTGCTCCTGTTCACCTTCTGCCATTCTGCAGCCCTCTGCTCTGACTTCCGTGCATACCCTTGTACCAACCAAACATCCGTCTCCCCCCATCACTCAAATCCCCCTTTCCCCCCCCCACCCCCGCCACGCACACTCATTCTTTCCAATTTTCCGATTGCCATTCATCCTGTTCTGCCTCTGCACTCCTCGAACTTAAACCCCTGGCAGAACCTCGCATCCAGCCGCTACTGCTGGCCCTCTCTCTCAAGTTCACCTCACCCACTGATGCTGCCATCGCTGCAGTCTTAGAGGTAGGTGGCTGCAGTCTTTGAGGTGGGCAGGCCGCAGGCTGCTGTGCAGATTTTGAGTCACTTGAATCGTTGTAGTTATCGAATTCAACTTTCAGGTCATGCCTTCATTCCCCTCCATCTTTCATCCTCTCTTTCCCCACTCATTTGCCTCATTTCTTTCTCTTCAATGCATCTCTGTCCCTTGCCCCCTGCTCTACCTTTTAATTCTCGCCTTCACTGCCTCGCCTTCCATATGCTCTCCACCCCCTCCCCATCCAGTCACTCGCATCCGCTCCTGCCGAGCGCGCCACGCTCGTGTCCTTCCTGGGTACGGCCCTCTCTGCCAGCCCCTGTGCGCTGCAGCAAGTCGATGCCCCTCCTGCTGCCACGGGGACAGGCGTGCAGCAGCAACAACAGCAACAGAAGCAGCAGCAGCAGCAGCAGCAGCAGCAGCAGCTGTTGTCAGTTCATTTGGCAATTGATCATGCGCAAGTGAGTGCAGTTGACCATGTGCAAGTGACACAAGTGACACATGAGGCACTCAAACCTTCACTCTTTCTCTCATCTCCTCGTCTTTCATCACTATGCACTTTTATCTCCTTGTCTTCCCTCCTCCCATGTGACGCCTGCCCGTCGTGGGTGCGTGTGGCAGTGGCAAGTGCGGAAGGCAGCAGTGGAGCAGCTGCCAGCGCTCATGGCGGCAGCAGGGAAGCACACGGACACTGACGAGGCGGCTCAAGGCGAGGTGGGTGCCGCTGGGTCCAGGGAACGCAGTGGGCGTGTGAGGAAAGGTGTGAGCAGATGGGGTTGATTATGTGGTGGTTGGGGAGTTGTTTTGGCAATCGTATCCATCTGATGTCTTCCACACGTGTCGCTCTCCCCTGTTCAGATGCTTTCACCATCCATCATTCACTTACACCACTTCTGTGCACTGGCCTCCTCCCTTCCTGTCTCTGTCCCCTCTCAGGTGCAGTCATTTGTGTCATCTGCGCTGCAGCGTCGACTGGCAGACGACAGCTGGGAAGTGCTGCACGCTGCTGTCACCTCTCCGCTCCTCCCACGTGCCCTTTCTGCATCTCTCCTCTTCGCACCTCTCAAAGCCATTCTCCTCCGCCCCCTGCCGCCTGCCTCCGAGCCTCTGCCTGCTCACATCAAGGGTAAGGGGTTGCTGCTCTATCAGCTTGTTTGCCCATGTATGGCTGCCTGCCGCACTGCTATTACTCACTCTACGTTCCAAAGTCCAGCCCACTGCCGCATAACACACATGGCCTCACTTGTCCCCATCTGCCCGTATGTGCCCCACATGGCCTGGCCCCACCCATCCCATGTGCCCCTGTGTGCGCCATGCCCCCATTCACAGAGTGTCAGAGCACTGCCCTTCACCTCCTGCGCACGGCTGTCATGGGGCCAGCGCTCAAAACACATCCGGGGGAAGGCCAGGGGCAGGGGAGCGAGGAGAAGGAGGAATGGGGAGCGGGAGGTTTGGTGGTGCAGGGGGTGGCGGAGGAGGTGATGCCACATGTGCTGCTGTCTGCTCTCATGCCCTCTCAGGTGACAATCCCCTTCCCCTGCCACAACTCCGCTCTCTGTCCCCCTGCCATGCAACTCATGTTCTCTGCTTCTGTACGGAACGCCTTCCAAGCTGACACCCTCTCGCCCATTCCCTCCCCCTCCCTGTCATCCCCACCCCACCCCTCTGTGCAGCCCTACTGTCCGTCCAGTCCCCTCGCCAACCCCCAGATGCTGCACGAGGCTCTTCTCATGGCACAGCAGCTCGCGCCTCACTTCCCCCTCTTCCTCCACCTCCCCTCCCCTTCACTCGCTTCCCTCTCCTTGCCCTCTTTCTCCGCCTCCGATGCCCTCTCTCTCGTAACCTTCGCCCTTGCTGTTGCCATCACACCACCTTCCCTCTGCTCCGCACAACGATCTGCCTCAAAAGACATGTGGCGGACTGCCATTCTCTTCAGCCGCTCTGCTTTTGCTTCATCCTCTCCTGCTGGGCGACAGCTGTTGCTGCTTGCACTTCTTGGAGCAGTACACAGCCTCCCTGCCACGTCAGCCTCGCTGGAATCAGCACTGCAATCACGTGAAAATGTTGCTGTGGCAGGGAGCACGGAGCTCCAAGAGGCGAAGGAAGGAGGAGTTATGGAATTTGCGGAGGAGGCAGTGGGGCTGGTGCAGGATGCGTGGAAGGCAGTGGTGGCGCAGGCAGTGCATGGGAGTGGAGGGGAGGGGGAGAAGCGACGCAAGGGTGCTGCCTCTGTCCACCTGGATGCCCTGCTCTCCTCTCTCGCTCAGGTGCTGCCTTGGCCTTTTCATGTGTCTGGCCATTCACTTCCCCTCGTTGCCTTTTCCTGCTTTCTTGCCTGGATTGAAGAACACTCTTCTAATTTCTCCTTCTCTCCTGCCTGCAGGCCGCATTCTCAGCAGCTCCAGACGTGCAGGCCAAGATCTTCACACTGCTCTCCACACTCCCCGCCTCCTCCATCGACTCCCTCAGCCTTTCAGCCGACCTTACCGTCTCATGCCTCTCATCCCTTTTGAGGAAGCTTCCAGGAGCCACCCGGATAAGTGATAGTGTGTCAGGACCACGTAAGCAGCAAGGTGTTGTGGCAGGGCGCGTGTTTGAGCTGTTGATGGGCACAGCAAGTCCCAAGGCAGCTGCTCTGGCTGCAGCACGCATTGCCGGAGCAGTGCAAGGGAGGGCAAAGACGCAGGGGGGAAAGAGCGATGGTGAGGGAGGCGGACGAGTGGAATATCAAGAGGCCATGTTGGAGGCTGTGAGGGACATGGGTCTACGTGCAGGGGAAACGGCAGGAGGGGAAGAGGGCAGCACGGGGCAGCAAGGCATAGCTTCTCTGCTGCAGCTGCTGCTGGCACGCTTCACCACTCGAGCCTCCCTCCTCACCTTTTTGGACCCCTTCCTCCTGCCCTCACCCTCGCGCGTGTCTCACTCACCCTCCCTCCAACTAGCAGCGCTCTCCCTCCTCCCTGCTGTAGCTGCTGCTGCAGTGCCAGGGGACGCCAAGGCCAATGAGGAGCTGCCACATGTGCTTCTGGGAGCGCTGTTGCGCCTTATGGTGGCGGTGCAGAGCCCTCACAAGGTGAGACTGAAGGCGTAGGGCGTGGGAGCTCAAGCTCCACAATTGTTGCTTTTTACTTAATCTGTGGCTGTTGTGCTCCTCGCATTTCCTCATGGTTGTAAGCGGCTATTCACAAGCCATGGCATCACAGACGCATCCGCGCCCCATTTAAGATTCCTTCTTTGCTGTTGTGTGTTTCAGCCCGTTCGCAAGGCAGCTCTCCACGCATTCGCGACCCTAACGCAGGCGACCGCCACTCTCCCCAGTTCCTCGTCCACCCTGCCCTCTCCCTCCTCTCTTTCGCTCCTTGCATACACTTTCTCATCCTCCAAGGATGCTCTCCTCTCGGACCCCTCCCTACCGCTTGCCCTCTCCTCCTCCTCCTCCTCCTCCTCCACTGTTGCCCTCTCCCTGCCCGCCTTCACACGTGCTGCATCCTCTACCACCATCCCTTCCAAACCCTGCCAAGCTGCTGCTCTGCTCATTCGTCTGCTGGACCCCTCATGTGCTGCGTCCACTGGTTCCAGGTAAACGGCTTTGTCTCTTTTCATGGCATGTTGCTTCCATGTGCCATTCATGTCCAGTTGTGCTGCGTCTCGTCTACTTCCCATCCAGGTGTGGCAGCGCTTTTTTAGGCTCGGCTAGCTTCAAGATCTGTTTTCTTCCGCATGTTTGTCTGTCTGCTATCGCAGCTTGACTCCCTCTGACCGTACCGTCCTGCTCTCAGCTCTCTTCAATGCTGCCATCAGCCTTCCTCCATGGCCTCAGGTATCACAACTGCCTCTTGGACACACCACCGCAACCATCACAAACACGTTCAACATTTTTCTGGCGTTGGTACTATTTCTCCGTTTCTCACCCACCCGTCCTTTAATTGGTGACCATGTTTCCGGCACGTGGCATTAAACTGATCTTGCTGTTGCTCCACCCCTCACTTGACGTCTTGCAGGCCCTGGCTCTCCACATGCTCGCAGCAATTCCAGCAGCCACCGCTCTCCTCCCGCTGGGCCTACTGCTGCCTCGCCTGCACGAGCTGCTCTCTCGCCGCCTGCATTACCACCTGCAGCAGGCGCAAGGTGCTGCTGGGCCGCCACTGCCACACAAGCCAGCATCAGTGGACCCAGCAGCACGGCTGGGGGGAAGGCTGGAACTGGATGAGGTGCACCTGCTGGCTGTGGGCTTGCAGGTACGCCTGTGAATCAAATGCCCTTGACCTGGGTTCTTATGTCTAGCATTCGCAATGGGGTTTGCAATGTATCATGCTCGCCTTGCATAAGCACGTCCCTGCCTCAGCGTTGCACCTTGTGGGTTTCGGGCTTGGGTCTCCATGAGGCTGCTGGCATGTGCTTGTTGATTCTCAGCTTCCCTAGCGCGAAACGTATTCTCTCCCACTGTACCTTGCAGCTTGTAGCTGCGGCCGCATCAGGAGGTGGGCAGGAAGGGGTTCTGGCAGAAGCAGATGTGGACGAGGAGATGAGGGAGGAGGGAGGTGAAGGAGAGGAGAGTGCAAAACATGGGAAGGAGAAAGCGCAGCACACAGCAGGGAAAGGAGTTGCCGCTGTTGACGTTGCACCTCTGCTGCTCATGGCAATGCAGGTACGGTATAGCAGGTGTGTGGCTGTGCAGGGGACAATGGAGATGGGGAAGGTGTAAATGTGCAGGTGAGGTTCAGATCTGGTGATGAAGGCTGACAATGTGGGTGCAGGGTGGAAAGGCAATGCAGGCTGGCAATGTGGGTCCAGGGAACCAGCATGTGCTGCTGACATGCTCACTTCTGCTGCTCCCACTCTCTTCTCCTCCAGGTTCAGGGTGCCATGTCAGCTGATGACGTGGCAGTGGAGGCCCCATCCATCACGGCAGCAGGTGTGGTCACAGATGACTTCTTGGAGGCACTGCCAGACACCTACCAGGTGAGCCGGGCTTGCCATTGTTCCGTCATCCGTTTTTTCTCCTTAACTCTTTGAGCAACAACATTATCAACCACTCGTCTCCGTTCTGTGCTGCACTCCCTCCCTCCAACCTCTGCCGCTTCACCTCGTCCTCCTCAGGATGGGCTCGTGGCGAGTCTGCTCTTCCTCATGGCAGCATCTGAGGCCTCGCCTGCAGCGCGCCAGGCAGCCAAGGAGGCACTCCGGCGCCTCAAGGTGTGCTGCTGCTGAGGGCTCATGTCACACATACAGGCCCATGCACAACATGCACCTGCCACTGGGTTTTTAAAATATGAGGTGGATGCGGCCCTGTTTCTCCATGCGGTTCATTCCCTCCCTCCAACTGCTTTTATTATTGATCCCTGATTCAAGCTCACACTATCACGCCGATATTTCCCCCTCCTTCCCTCTCCTCTCCGTCCCCCCTCTCAGCTGAGCCCAACCATGCTGGCGCGCCTCGTCACGGCCCTCTTCTCTCCACCATCGGTGTCTCACGGCGCCCCTCAGGCGACCAGCTCCAACACGCCAGACATAGGTGGCTATGTGCCACTGTCTGACTCGCTGCCCGTGGAACGACGTGTGGCTACCGCAACTGGTCTGCTGGAGATGCTGCTGTGGAAGGAGGACGTCACAGCACAGCAGACGTGAGTTGGTGACGTCACTGCACAGAAGAACTGAGTTTATGACGTCACACCACAGTTGCAAGTAGCCCTGCAATGTCGCACATTATGCCCTCCATCCCACCATGATCCAATCATCATAAAACTCTATGTTTATTGTTCCCTCCTCCCCTGCCCCATGCCCTTTGCGCTGTGCCCATTCCCCAGCATCCAACTATTCCCGTCGCTGGCCACGACCATTAGCTCTGTTCTCTCCCACCGCTGGCCGATGCTACCAGCACCCAACTCCAATGATGCAGAGGAAGAGGGGGGAGAGCAGGGTGGGCAGCAGGCAGAGGATGGAGAGGGCGATGTGGCTGGGAGTGAGGTTGCAATGAGCGCCCAGATGCTAGGAGCCGTTGAATTCGTGCTGCAGCTGGTGCTGACGGTGGCGCGCAACGCCCTCTCCTCACACACACACATGCAGGAGGGACAGGACGAGGCAATGGAGAGTGAGGGGGAGGAGGATGAAGAGGGCATGGAGCATGGGGAGGAGGAGTGTGTGGTGCACATGGTGGGGGCGGCAGTGGAGGTGGTGAAGGGGCGGAGGGATCCTGCCACTGCGAGTGCAGCCATAGCAGTGCTGGCAGCTGCTGCAGAAAGGCAGCCAGAGGAGGTGGTGGAGCACGTGGTGGCAGTGCTCTCTGTTGCCACCACTACCACCCTCGCCCTCGTGTGTTCCTCCCCTGCACCTTCACTCGCTCGCTCCTCCTTGTTCCCATCAGCAGCACTCCTTCCTCTTTGCTTCTGGCCTTGCTGCCTTTTGTTCCCCTTTTTGTGGCACTCCTCTTCGTTTTCGCTCTTTCTCTGTGTGGTTGCTCCGGTGGCTGAGCGGATGTGTCTGTGTCTCCACTTTGGGCCCATCTCGCGTTTCCCATCCCCATCAGGACATTCGGGAGTCACACGACGCCATCCACCGACTCGTGGAGGCAGTGCTTCCTGCATGGCTGCACCACAACCAAGATGTCACTCCCCTGCTTCAGGTAAATGCTGATCCCACTTTCCCGCTTAAGAAGAGTTCAGATGCCACTCCCCTGCTTCAGGTGATTGCAGATGTCACTTCCTGCTTTACGTGAGCACAGATGTCACTTCCCTGCCTATGGTATCTTTTAGTGATATCAGTTGCCGTCGCTGCTTCGAGTTCCACTAATATCAGTTGCCTAGACAATTCGAAGAACCTTCACTCTGTCATCACTCCACCAGCTTGGGCCTATTGTGGAAACCCTCCCTTCACCCTCGTTTCTCCCCCACCCCACACCACCCCTCTCTGTGCCCCTCCAGATGGTCGTGTCATCCCTGCCCTCCATGCTTCATCACCACCGCATCGCCCTCCTCACGGCTCTCCTCAGGTGCCTTCATCTCTTCGCTTCCTTTTCCTTGTTCAATGCTTTTCCTCCCCCATTCGTCCTCTTGCTGAGTCCTTTTTCTTGAACAGCTCTCCTGCTCCTCTTTTCCTTGTAAATCCTGTGTCTTCTTGGTACTTCCCAATACCCCACGCTCTCCCTCCCTCTTGCCACCACAGAGGTGTCTCTCCATCGTTGGGCCTAGCTCCGCTTCTGCTGCTACTGCTAACCACCACAGGCGTCACACCCTCCCTTCTCACAGCACGTGCCGACAATTCCAAAGATACCCCTCGCTCTGCGCGGGCGCGCAGGCAGGCAGCGCTGCAGCAGCACGCATACTGGAGGCGGCGGGGGGACAGCACAGGCGATGAGAAGCAAGGCGAGTGGGGGCTCAGCCTGGCATTTGAGCTCTGTTCGCAGGTTCCAGGAAGCATCCGACTGGAGGCGTATGTGAAACTCTTGGAAGCCACGTGCCCTCCAATCATAGCGCGACGGAAGGCGAGTGCGGCAGCAGATGAGGCATGTGATTGGTGGAGTGGGACGGGTCCGAATGACGATGTGGTTGTGGTGAGCTTCGTGGGTGCTGAGTTGCCGGCTGCAGTGGCAGCTATGGAGGAGGAGCTGGGGATGGAGGGAAGTGCAGATCCAGCAGAGGGTGGGGAGGGAGGGCTCAACAATGAGGGTGACGCTGCAATGGTTGACACCCAGCACCGACAGCTCTTTGTGTCTCTCCTAGAGCATGTGGTTCTTCGCCTCCGTGCCACTGCTGCTGCTGCTGCTGCCAGTGCTGCTGTGTCCCCCCCCCTCACCACCGCATCTTATCCTCCTGCCCTCAAGGACAGGGCGGACTTGGTGGCTTCAGCAGCGTATGAGCTGCTGCAGACTCTGGATGACGTCACTCCTAGTGGTGTGTTCCTGCAAGCGGTGCAGACGCTACTGACCAACCCCAGCACTCATATTCGACGAAAGGTACTGCTGATAGTGTGTCGCACATGTTGGGCCAAACCAAACTACATCTACTGTTATACACCACATGGACAATGCATTTCTTTGGCATTTCCACACCCGCCTTACTGCTCCCCTCTTCTTTTCGCAGGTTCTTCGGCTGCTTGCCGCCCGAGTGCGGGCCTCCGCACCCCACACCCTCATGCCGCATGGCCGGGGCAAGGGTAGGAGCAAGCAGCGGTTGGCGCAGGCAGCTCAAGAAGAAGCGAGGGAGTATGCATCGGTGGCAGGACAGCTGGCGCACATGGGCGCACTCGAGGGGGCTGACAGGTCCCTGGCAACACAAATGGCTGCTCTGCAGGTCAGAAAAATAGAGCAGCAGCAGGCGGGCCACTGGTTCTTGCTTCTGCGCAGCTCCTTACTTCACTCCTGCTTCATCCTGTGCAGGTTACTTCACTGTGCCATCGTTCTTACCCTCCTTATCTCGTAACCTATATCTCCTCCCTCCCCTCTCACTTGTTTCCCCATCTTTCTCTCCTCAGACACTTGATGCCATCATCAAGCGCTTCGCGTCGCTGGCTTCTGAAGATTTCTCTCCGGCACTGGCCCCTCTTATTCGTATCATCTCCGCTCACTCGTCCCCACCGCTCCTCAATGCTGCTGCATTGCGCTGCCTCTCCTCCCTCGCCTCCTCACTGCACCATCTGCTGCTGCCCCACCTGCCTGTCCTCATGCCGCCTCTATTTGCCTCAGCTGACCGGGCCCTTGCTGCGGCAGGAAATGGGGCGGTGGAGGAATTTGGGGCAGATGAGGGGGGTGCTGAGGATGCGGATGAGCAGATGGAGGAGGGTGAGGGGCATGGGAGAGCAGAGGTGGTGAGTGAGGGGGTGGCACATGACCTGCTGGCTGCTGTGCTGCAGGCTCTGGAAGCCATGCTGGCAGCCATGGGTCCTCTCCTCTCTCCCTTCACTCCTCGCATCCTCGCCTGCACCTGTCTCAGTCCCGTGCTTCTCTGCTGCCCCTCGACGTCGGTGATGCAGCATGCCCATGCTGTGCGACAGCTGCTCATTCAGAAGCTTCCTGTAAGGCCCCTCACTTTTTGAACCAACCAACTCTTTGTCAACTACCTCGTTCTCACACAATCTGCAGATATGGTCCAACTTCCAGCATCCCTTTTTCACACTAGATCGGAATATGGTGATCGCGGGCTGATTTTGCCTTATCGTGTCCCGCCCTTCCCCTGCCGCCCTTCCCCTGCTCCAGATGCGGCTGCTTCTAGACCCTCTGGTCTCCTCCTGGTCCACGGCCACAGCTGCAGGCCCTGCACCCTCTGCTGCTCTGCTGCACATGCTGGCTCGCGCCGCCTCCCACATGGACCGGGCTGCTGCCTCCACCTTCCACGCCCGCATCTTCGACTTCCTCCTCCTCCGCACCTTCGATGTCCGCCGCGCCCCTCCCTTTCCCCCCTCCACTGACAGCTCCTCCAATCAGCGTCTGCCAGGTGGCACACAGATGGTCACAGCTCCTGATGTGGAAGGAGCATCAGTGGCGGCAATGGTGGGGCTGGTGATGAAGACGAGTGAGAGTGTGTTCAAGCCCATGTTTGTGCGCGTGCTTGAGTGGGCCGCCAGTGAATATGCTGCTAATGGTGATGCCATTTCGCCAGCAGGCAGAGTGGAGCGACACCTCACTCTCTTCGGTCTCGTCAACGTGCTCTCTGACAAGCTCAGGTACTCATGCTGCTGCTCTTGCTGCTGCTGCTTCAGAAGATGAAGATCGCTTGTGCATAAGCATGAGTACACAGATTCTTACTGGTTCTGTCTTGTTCTGCCTCACACGAATGGCTTTGTGCTCCTTGCAACCCCTCCTCTCAGGTCGGTGTTCGTGCCATACTTCCAGTACCTCTTTGACATTGCTATTCGCCACCTTGTTGGCACAATTGATGCTGCCAAGGGTGGAATGAAGAAGAAGAGGCGCAAGTCAGCAAGCGTGGCAGCAGCAGCAGAGGACAGCATTGCACAGTGGCAGCTGAGGCACCTGGTGGTGTGTGCGCTGCACAAGTGCTTCATCTATGACTCCAACGCTGCCTTCTTGGATGCAACACGCTTCCAGGTATGAAGCCGTCCTGCAGTGATTTCAACACATGGTTAGGAACTCAAGAATGTGTGTGTCCTCCTCTTATCTAACAGCTGTAATGCCCTTGATGTGTTCAGGCTCTCTTGGAGCCCCTCACATCTCAAATCGACAGAGAGCCTCCAGCTGGGGTGGCTTCCATTGTTTCTGCTCCGTCTGCTCCAGAAGCTGTCTCAGCGGCTTCTCAGCTTTCAGAGGCACACCTAATGCTGGAGCCCTACATTGCAGTGTCTGTCCCAAGCATCAGCGCCGTGGATGATGAGCTCGTGACATGCCTCGGTGAAATGACCATTGCAGGGGGTTCTGATATCCTCTGGAAGCAGCTCAACCACCAGGTACTGTGCTGTGAGAACGGAGTGCAAGTTGTGCCTTCGACTTGAGATTATGTCGACGTTTTATCTGGACGCCTGCATTTCTTGTTTTGTGGCAGGTTCTGATGTGCACTAGGAGTGAGCGGGTGCGGTCGCGTCAGCTGTCTCTGCGTGTTGTCAACGAGATTGTGGATCGGGTTCGCGAAGAGTACGTGGTGCTGCTGCCCGAATCTATTCCCTTCTTGGCGGAGCTGCTGGAAGATTCAGACGCCAATGTGGCCGAGAGTGCAAAAAGCCTGGTGAAGAAACTGGAGGAGCTCAGTGGTGAAGAACTCACCCAGTACTTCTAGCAGAGAGGCTGTGTACCGCACTTCATTTTTCCTAATGCTGAGGGTATCGAATCCTGATTCCTGAACTACAGTATGGTCAACCGGATGTGTAACTTCCTCCGAAAATGTAATGCTCAGTAACTTAGTGAAACAACACCTATAAGAGTAGAAACGTTGAATATCATTGCTGTGAGTAAAATGCACTAGGATACATGTAGTCAAGGGCTCACATTGCATTGCTGCATAAACGGATGGTCTATCTTGACATATTTGGTCCAGTACCGCTTGAACTTAGTCATTGAAATCTCAAGCCATGGCTTCATGTTGCCATTGTAATGCACCACTGCAGCACTGCATGATAGGAAATGAAAGATGTTAGTAAGCACCACATGCAAAAGGTACACATACAGGTGGACGGTATGGCTTACTTGTTGAGCTCATCCATGTCAAGGTTTGGATTGTAGCCGAGTCCAAGGGCATGCCAGCCCTTGTCGATTGGTTGAGTCTTGTTGTAGAACGTGATCAGACCAGGCGGTAGCGTTCCAAGCTTCCATAGAGTACGATCTTCATTCTGAAACATAGATTCAGCAATTCAGTTAGTAAGCAGTAAACAATCTTCTAGCATCAAAGCTGCTGAACTTTGTCGCTCCACCTTGACAGCCCTCATTGGGATTTCAGGGAATGAACAGCATTGAAGTGAAACGGATGTCTTTCAACCTTGAAGCCCACCTGTGTTTGCCATCTGTGGTAGATACCGGTAATGTCTTGGACTTTCCACTGCTTCAGGTCGAAGACATTCATCCCGTATGCCCAGCCACAAGCCTGCAGGAGGACAGATCAAGGGGAATTGCTGGTGCCCATATAGATTCACCGCAGGACAACCCCTATTGCAACCCTCAACGGACAAATGGTACCTGTGGATCAAAGTTAGAAGCTATCAATGGATTGGAGAAGTTGAGGTATTTGTCAAATCTGTGGAAACTAGCCCCACATGTCTCCACCGCACCATTCACATTTCCATGCAGGTCGACCTGCCAAACGCAAGGAGATGTCAGTCATTGACAAAAAATGCATTCAAGCAAGAAGCTGTATGGAGCAGCAGAGCAGGCACTTACATCCCACAGTGGTGTGAGATCCTTTTGAACCACGATGTCATCATCCAGAAACAGAACCTTGTCCAGCTTGGGGAAAACTTCAGGCAGATAGAATCGGAGGTGATTCAGCATTGACAGGTACTTGGGATTGCGATACTTGAGGTTTGCTGTTGCACCTCCCGCTGTTTCTGTTTGTTGCCCTGTCTTGAAATAGTAGTCCTGCAAAACAAGAATACATGAGTTTCAGCAAATGCTATCCACGTGGTCCAAGCAGAACCGCATATCTTGCATCAGCTCTTGTACTGTACCTTCATTGATGCAGATTCCAACTGCCTCAGGACAGGGCAGTAGGACGAGTTGAGCCACGTGAAGTCATCAACGCTTTGAACCTCAATCGTTGCCTCCTTGGGAGGGTTGAAGAGAAACCATGACTGCAAAGACATTACAAATGTCAATTTATCTCCCACCAGACTTTCGATATTCAACAGAACCAACCATTGAACTCACCTTCATGGCCGCTATGTTGAGCTTGTCAGTCACAATGTGGAACACGTGCCTAGAGGAGTCCTGAACAGGGAGAAAACACGGAAGCAGTTTCTTGAGGGCCTTGATCACTGTCTGGGTGTGCAGAAGCAACCGTTGAACATGGACGTGCATTGGCAGTGGCAACGGTGGAGACAGACGTACATTTGCATTGACAACAGTTGAATTTACGACCACGGCTGTTGCCAGCACGTTGTCAGAAAAGAGTGCATAGTGATGGTAGTCATTGTCTTCCAGCTTCTCCTTTCCTGGAAATTCCCGCTCCTCTGGAGAAAGGTTGCTGTATTCTATAGTCAGTCGCATGGAGAGACAGAAGATTCCCTTCGGTATGGTCTTTGCAGCGAGTTGACTCAGGAAAAGACTTTGCTGCCTCAGAGCTTGATTCTGAAATGTTAGCAGAAGAGGATTCCGGTCAGCCACGTGTGCAAGGATGGAGATGCAGCCACTAACAGATTGAGACTCACCTGCTCTTCAGCAGAATGCACCATGGCACGTAGCTTCTTCACCATTCCGGTGCAGTCGTAGTGCTGATCTCTCGCTCTGGCCAGCAACTGCCCCATGGCGCGCATCTTCTCCACCGCACTGCAGAGCACGAAAACGAATGCTTCAAGGTTTCTTGTCGAATCAGGAATACGAAAAGTAGTTTTACACTACGAAAGTAAGTGGAAGGGGACGACCTACTTGGAAGCCAGCTCGGCGTCCGTGGTTGCCTCGCCTAGCGACTTGGTGCTGTCCTTCATCCTGTTCTTCAGCTCCTTGGACAGCTTCGAATCCCCATGCTGCTGCGCGATGGCCATGTACGCTCGCGCCATGATCAGCTGATCCTGAATAAGTCTAATCATCTGGTCCCCGCCTATCTTCTCGTCCTCCCTACGCCAGATGCTGTATTTGTTCAGAGCGATGGCGGGCTCCGTGCCAGCCCCCTTCTTCTTCTTCTCTTCCGCCTCAGCAGCGTCGTCTTCTATGGACTCCTGCGCCACCAGCTCGTGAAGCCGTTTGTCTCGCCGACGAATTCGGTTTTCCTGCAATAGAAATTCACATATAAGCACGAAGTCGCTGTACAATAACAACACAAATTTGAGGAGCGGCGACGTACTCGTCTTATCCGTCGAGCAGGATCATTGGGATCCGGCTTCAGAAGGGCTTCCATCGCCCTCAACGACTCCGGGTCCTCCCCTGCATCCAAGCGCGGACCATCAGTGGGACGCGACAAGAAAACCCAGCACCATGCGCAGGTAACTGGCGATGCGACTTACCCTCTGCAGCAGCTTTGGCCAGCAGGCTGGCGTGATCGGCAGTGGAAGCTCCCAACGTGGCGAGCGGGTCTTCCGAGGGAACCTGAAAAGCGATGAGTCAGTGCCTCTGTGCTGTTATGCAGCAAATTCCTGATACCGGAGCGAGCAGTATACTCACAGACTGCGCTTTCCGTCGCCTCTCCTGAATTCGCTCCAGCGCAATCGATGTCGGTTCTTCCACCGACAGCGAGCGCAAGTCCGGGAGGGACGAATCAGCCGCATTAGTATTAACGACGTCTAGTACCTAGGGGAAAACCGAGGAGATATAGTTAGTAAACAGATCGTGGAGAAAGTAGATGTTTACTTCTCCACTAGCAGGCATACCTCCTTCGGGAAAAGCGACTCTATTTGCTCCAGAGCTGCCAGACTTTTTGTCTCGGAGGATAAGACCTGGATATTTTGAAACCTGAATGTAAGTCCTGATTATAATATAACGGATGGATATTGAGGGGAAGTATACGTGCGTACCTGGTCTACTGTGGTTGCTACTGAGTTGTCACGACCTGCACAGGTGTAGAGTCGTTTGGGTGAGGAATGCGTTCGTCATCAAGTGCAAAACTGTGAAGAAGCGATCCTTACGCGTCGTGGATGAAGCGGGTGATGTCAACGGGCTAGACAGGCGATAACCGAAGAATACGAACGCACTAGCGAGAGCGACTACAGATATTACAACTGCGTTCCTGCATAAGGATAGTCCCCCTGTTCGTAACCTCATCAAGGAGGTCCGCCTGGCCTGAGCCAGGTGCTTTCCGCCTGACGACACCATGGCCAAATATGGATTAGCGAATCTTGACGCTAGTAAGCTTGTTCCAGGGCCGCATCATAGCTATGGAAAACAATGGATGCTGTGGAAGTTGAAGGGAGACGTTAGAATAAGAGAAGCCTTGGTTCTTCCATGTTAGATTCAGCTTTGCCTTTCCCATCCCACCCATCTGTTCGCTTCGGTTCCCTTCCCACACTGACAGGCCGCCTCATGGCGAAGGGTCGAACAAAGAGACGCATCGGTGTTCCCGCCTAGACGATACCGAGGTCAGCTGACATCAGTCTGAGAACCCACTTAGTAAGAATTCCGCTTTAGATGAAAGCATTGTCTTTGTGTTAGGCCCGCTCGCCTAAATCCGCTAAAGAATAGCGGGGTCGACTAAGTCGAGGATGAAAACGCGGCGGAAGACTTTGGCGAAAGAACTGTTGGCGAAAGAGGCGAAGAAGTAACTGAGTAATGGTTGAATGAGAACTGATTGATGATGGCAAGTACAAGCAATGTTTAAGTAGCATGCAAGAGCGATTGTTGGAAAGTACTTCGTGGGACTAGAAAGTAGAAGGCAAGAAAGCTAGAGTGCCACGTGGCACTAGGAAATCTTGGATAAGTTGGATGAAGATAAGGTTGGGATGAGGTTGGGGTACTGTTTAGGGTAAACCACTCTTGAACAGTAAAATACCCCGTAACACTACCCCCCTCCCAAGGAGGCGACGTCCGCGGCGCCTGCAGACTGAAGGTACGCTTGAAGGCAAGCGTTGTCGGGAGACAGCGAGGACGAAGGAACCCAGCTGTCGTCGGCTGCATCGTTCGTAACCACGCCAACGAACCAAGAAGTCGATGAAAGAGACACCCCCCTGGAGACGGCGACGGTGCCTGAGGATGCGCTGGATCTGGTAGTCGGGCTCGTCAGTGTCAACAGCTACCGGCAGTGGAGTGTGATCACGGCCCGAGAAGGTGGCATTGGGATCGGTGTATGGACGAAGGAGAGACACGTGGAATGACGGGTGCATGCGGAAATGAGCGGGAAGGCGGAGGCGGTATGCGACTGGACCAAGTGCGCACTCAATGACAAATGGACCAATGAAACGTGGGCGAAGCTTGCTGTCCTGTGGCAGTCTGAGGTTGCGGCTATCCAAAAAAACACTGTCGCCGACTGAAACTGACACCTCACGACGACTGCGGTTGGTGGTGCGTGCCATGCGTGCATTTGCAAGCTCAAGGTGCTTCCTCACGTGATCATGAATGAAGGTGAGATGCTGGTGGAAGTTGTCCGCACAAGGGACTGTGGGTGTGAGATTGACACGAGTGGGGACATTGGGGTGCTGACCG